GTATGGAAGTGGTTTGAACTGGCATCAGCTTTTAGATATTTCTTCTAGAATTATAGAGTTGACTTGGAAGTGGCCACAAGGGCTATCCAATCCAATCCTCAGCCATTCAGGAATACACAATCAAAGCATTCCTGATAGATGCCCATCCAATCTGTTTAAAAACATCCAGAGAAAGAGGCCCACTATTCTCCAAGACAGTGTAATTCACTATCAAACAGCAATTTCCATCAGGAAGTTCTTTCTAATGTTTAGGTGGTATTTCCTTTACTGTAATTTTGATCTCTTGCTCTGTGTCTTAGTGTCTGGAGCAGCAGAATACAAGCGGCCTCCCTCCCCAATATGATATCCTTTCGGATGTTTAAACAAAACTATGATGTCCCCTAAGTTGCCTTCTCTTCTGCAAGATATTTACTATTTATGTTAAAAAGCAGTGATTACTAACTATATTATTGTTTTTTAAATTAGTAACGTAATTAAGTTTTTAAAGTATATTTTTGAAAATGTGCATATTTCCAAGTTGTGTATTGAGAATTTAGAGTATGCCAAGGAAAAAGGTAACAATATGCAGTTATTTTAAAATTGAAGTGGACACTTTCTGTTGCCTGGAGGAGTAAGGAATAAGATCCTGCATGTAATGGTAATCTAACATTCATTTATGCCTTCAAGGAGCGGGGTATTGTGATATTTTTGTGAGAGATAGATTTCATTAAATATTGAAAGATATTTCCATACAGGAATAATCAACCCCTCTGACACCCCCTCGCGACCCCCTCAGGGGTCCTGACCCCCAGGTTGAGAAACACTGATCTATGGAGAAACAGAAGTTTACATAATATGGCAAGTTGGCCAAAATTATAGAGGCAGCAAAGCAACCCCATTGTATTGCATGCAAATGACGGAACCTTAGTTTGGACTAGCAAATTATGTCTATCACAGAAAAAGAGTGACCCATCCACAGGTCTTGTGGACTGCCATAGCATTGTTCTCTTTCTCCTGCTCCAGCTAACATAGCAGATGCCAAGGTGGATGGAGGGTGGGAAGTCTGCACTTTGCCAGCATTTGCTGCCAAGGAAAAAGGAACGCAATGGGTGGTGTTGGCTTTGGATGAGTCAACAGAAATGGCAGCTTAGACAACTGAGATGTTTGGTCTGGCATTACTAGGGAGACTAGTTCATCTCCCTAGGTCACTGCTATAAGAATAAACCATTCCAGCTCATTTATGTTTAATATTCCTGTATCCAGCATGAAGGGCAGTGGAAGCAAAAGCAGAACATGAGGTCTTTTTTGGAGGCTGGTTGTGATGCCTCTTTAAAAGGCAAATCCTGAAACCTCTGAGACCCAGTTTCCCAATGAGGCGCTGAGAGACGTGGAGATGGAGATACAACAGACTTTATTTTCTAGCTGCGGGTAGCAGCATGAAAGAAAGTGCCACACTGAATGAAGCCTCTCATGAGGTTTCTATGGGATTGGCAAGTACATTTTCATACCTTCATACATTTCTTCTTACATGTCTGTTTTTCTCTTACATTCTGCCCTTTTCCCCTTTCATCTTGTACATATAGTACTTTGGTCAGTTGTTTATCAAAATTATTCAAGTAAGCAAATCCCCCACAATTTCCCAATTACAAATCATTCAATCTGTCAAACACCATTTGGACTTCCTGGGTCCTGCCTGAACTTTCTTCCATCCTTTGAGGCTCCCATGTGGTTCAATCCATCAAAACACCATTCCTGCTTGAACTTTCTTACATCTGAGACTGTTGCTTCTACCAGCTGTTTATTGTCCTGCCCTACCTGTGTAAGCTTCCTGGCTTGACATTTCCCATGCAGACCCTTCAATTGATTCCTTTTGCATAATTAAGAAATGCTGTTTGTTGTTTATCGCTGGGTCCTTCTTTCCTTACAATTTCCATTCAGTGGGTTTTTTTTTATTCCTCTGCTTATGTGAGCCTTTTTCCTATATGTTTCTCGTGGCAAACTCTTCTATTGATCTCTTCTACATGAAAAGACCGAGACCATTTATTTAATCAAACCTATTATCCATACTATTGCAATTTATTAATCAGATTAAATCAGGTTGTTGTCCCTAGTCCCCTTCATCTTCATAGATATACTTAATGAAGTCAGAATTTTGGTAAGTAATATGCTGAAACAAAGAAACCTATACTACAAGTTCTTCCTTCATACTGGTATAAACGTAGATTTTGGAAATGTGTGTTCCCCAAATGCTATTAGACTGCAACTCCCATCAGACTTAGCAGAAAAACTAAAGTTGAGATCATGGAATTTTTACTTGAGCAACACTTGGAGAGCCGCATGCTTCCTATCCCTGTATTCAAAAGAATAATTCAAGCAGAGGCATCCAATTCAAATCCTGCTGCCTTCAGAACTTTGGACTGTGGCACAGTTGTAAACAGCACAAGAGACCTTCTCTCCAGTGTGGCTATTGTTGCTTTGCTCTGCATTTCTTCTCCTATGTGGGATCTCTTCTCTCATAGTGTCCCATGGCTTTCCTGCTTTCCAGTTGTCTTTTGATATACTTAAAGTCTAATCTTGTGTGTGTGTGTGTGTGGGTGCACATTTGCCTGTTCTTGCCTCAACTCAGGAAGTTGGACTAGATGCCCATCTTGCTAATGATTATCTTACAAATCTATGTGTTCTAGTTTAGGAAAAATTATTATGCCTTGATCTTTCTCCTCTCCTTTCAACCAAAGGCACGTGTTACCCTTTGGTGGCATGGCATCCATCCTGTTTTTAGCAGATGCTAGTTGTTTTGGTTGGGGTAAATGTTTACCCTTTTGTCTAGGAGATCTGGCCATAAATTAAACTTGAGAGGACCTCTGGGCAAATACCTTCATGCTTCAGCACACTTAAAGTGTTAATTAGCTACTAACGGTGCCAATAAATTGGTCCTGTCAGAAAATAATGGCGTCCTTGACCAGTTTGATGTACAGGGGCACCTAAAGAATGCAGCCCAGGAAGACTTGTGGTAGGAGAAAAAAATGAAGTCCACATTTCATAACAGTAATCCAGATTTATATAGCTCATGATTTCATTTTATCACATCCAGCTCAAGAGTTATGTTGGGTAGTCTACTATGGCCTTCATGTGCTTCAGATCTTTGCTGCCTATATCTGGAATTGCAAATTGACTGAAGGCTTCTGATATGCTTAAAGACCTGTTGAAGTTCTGATAATACAAGTATACCTCAGTTAATAGAGTAGATGTGTTTGTCAGTGTTAGTTCTTAATTTGGTGTCAGAGGCAGAAATAATGTGGAAAGAATAGAGGTCAGTTCCCATACCACAAAAAAGAAGAGCAATATGTTTCAACAAACCTTTTATCCAGAAATAATAATATTCATTTGTGAAATGTATCAACCAAGTCAAGTGAGCCCTGCATAAGTAAACCAAAACATTTTGAACCTTCAAGACGTCATCTGGGAACTTTTTCCAATTTGAATCACTAGTCTCCACTTTGCTTGTTATTTCCATTTTGATGGCCAGATTTACAGTTCTGTCCTTTTTAACATGTTGCAGTAACTGTTAAAACTGTTGTAACTGTGAAAGCTCTTTTTTTCCCTGAGATAAAGTCTACGACTCTGTGGCCAACTTCTGGTGAGAGTTGATCACAGAATTGTACTGGAGGACTTACTGATTCTTAAAGAAGTGTTCTCTCTACAAATCTCTTGGTGTTTCAGAACAACACTATAATCAACGTTTGGAAGAAGTTAGCCACAGAGTACCACTGGAGAACCCAGAGATTTTTTAGAGAGAACATGTCAATAAAATCTATGAATAATATAATCTGCAAAAATCAAACCCGAAAATGTAGGGGGACTGGCTATATAAGGCTATTTCAATTTTTAGTTTTTGTGCAGCTGTGAAAGACACAGAAAATCTTTTCCGAGATCAGGGGGAAATTCTCCAAAGGATTATGTAATAATTGCTTCCAAGATTCAAGTACGCATTGGATTTCCTGTATGTCCACTGGCCTATACTCTTTCTCAGGATTACTTTTTATTATAATTTTATAGCATGAATTTTTATGTTTCTAAACTGCCACACTTTAGTAATAGGATTGTAATTATCTTGAATGTGGGTGGACTTGGTATGTACTTGTGTGCCTCTTGATTTTAATAAAACTGGATGCAGTTCAAATTTTGTAGATAAACCGCTGACAACTTGATTGCTTTCTGTTTATTGGCAATCAGAAAAGTGAAACATATGAAGAAACTACTGAAAGTTTTTAATATTTTAATGTGCTTTTATAATCTTGTTGGTTTACTTAATGTTAATTGTTTGTACTGTGATTGTTTGTTTGTTGGCATCTAATGATTGCCAGTTGTAAGCCGCCCTGAGTCCCCCTTCAGGGGTTGAGAATGATGGGATATAAATGTTTGAAATAAATAATAATAAATAAATAATAAAGTTCCAGGAGTACATGGGATGAGACTCTTACAGTTGCCTTGGCATATACCATTGTTAACAGGATGTAGATGTAGAACTGAACTGCGAGTAAAGTTATCAAGAGACAGCATTAACAACTTAGGTTATCTGAGAGGTTATATACTCCAATAAAAATAGAGTTTGGATACATTTTTTACTGTGATGACCATACTGGCTGGGGTATTTGGGGAATTTGTAGCCATAAAATAACTTTCCCAAGTTCTGCTTGTGAACTTATTGATAAATGATAGAACAAATCTAAGACACTCTTGGGATTCTCACATGCCTTTGAAGTCATATAAAATAGGACATTTAGTGTGGCAGCACTCCGTTTGTGGAATATTTATCCCCTGTTACAAGAAATGCCCTCCCTTCCAACTTCGGGTATGTGTTGTAAGCCTACTAAATATTCAGAACTAACTAACAAGGAACGAATGGGAATTTGCCTGGGAAGCCTGGAGATATTGAGTTTGAGTACATTTGGACTTCTATGCAAAATCCTTGGAAGGGTAAAAAAACAAACTAATACTTGCTTTTTCCATTGCATTTACAGGTTATATTCAAGCCTGCAGAGGACTCATGATTGCTGCCGTTTGCCTTGGATTTTTTGGCTCTGTGTTTGCACTGGTTGGGATGAAGTGCACAAAAGTTGGAGGCTCAGACCAGACAAAAGCTAAAATTGCTTGTTTAGCAGGGCTGGTTTTCATACTTTGTGGTAAGTGTGCACTTATAGAATCATAGAATCCTATTGGAAGAGACCTCATGGGCCATCCAGACCTGCCCCCTGCCAAGAAGCAGGAAAATCGCATTCAAACCACCTCCCAACAGATGGCCATCTAGCCTCTGTTTAAAAGTCTCCAAAGAAGGAGCCTCCACCACACTTCGGGGCAGAGAGTTCCCCTGCTGAACAGCTCCCACAGTTAGAACAAGCTTATATGTACAGTATTGCATTAGTTCAACTTACTGAAATATACTTCCTCTGATGAACCTTAGGTCTGAGCGCGTTGACCGGTTGCTCCCTGTATGCAAATCGAATCACATCTGAGTTCTTTGATCCTACGTTTATTGCACAAAAGTAAGTACTATTGGAAAAACTGTATACTTTTCAAAGAACTGTTGCACCCCATCATAGATGATGCCCCATTGCTATATCCCCTGCCACGAAAATTGAATGACAAGTCATACAGGATCACTCTATTCAGTGTATTCTCTGGTCTGATTAGTGATGGAAAATGAGATTTAGAACAGCAACCAGATAGGTTAGTAAGGTAGCCAGCAAACTCCAGGATTACATATTGAGCAACAGATCAACCAGAGTATTAAGTTGGGCACTTGTGAACCTTCCTTGTATAAAATAATCCCCCACTAATGATATTACTGAAAATGTACTTTTTGGACTACATCTCCCAGAATCTTGAACTTACATAGATACCCCATTGAGTCTGAAAATTGTAGTCCAAAAACTAATATCTATATTGTGGTTTGTGAAGGGAAAGCAATTATACAAACTGCCTTGTTCTTCAAAATTAGTATCACAACAACAAAAAGCTGCCATTGGTCTATTCATTAATAATCTTAATAGGGATTTCCTGTCTTGGCACATTTAAGCTGAGACTGAAAGGAACTCCAGTGCAAATCAATTGGATATTTTCTATAGGTGCATCTATGCTGTAGAGTTAATACAGTCTGGCGCCACTTGACTCAATGCTATTGAATTGTGGGAGTTGTAGTTTGGTGAGGCACAAGCACATTTTGAATTGAAAAATTATTATTATTATTATTATTATTATTATTATTATTATTATTATGGTTATGTATAATATGGTTATGCACACTGGGAGCCCCCCGTGGCACAGTAGGTTAAACCACTGAGCTGTCGAGCTTGTTAACCAAAAGGTCGCAGGGTCGAACTGAAAGGTTGCAGGGTCGAATTTGACCTGGATTCAATCAGTGGAAGCATGAGCTTCTGCGGATAGCCCCAGCTTCTGCCAACCTAGCAGTTCGAAAACATGCAAATATGAGTAGATCAGTAGATACCACTCCGATGGGAAGGTAATGGTGCTTCATGCAGTCATGCCAGCCACATGACCTTGAAAGTGTCTATGGACAATGCCGGCTCCTCGGCTTAGAAATGGAGATGAGCACCACACCCCAGAGTCAGGCACGACTGGACTTAATGTCAGGGGAAAACCTTTACCTTTACCTTATACCTCACATTTTCTTTCTACAACATTTAAAGTGATTTGCAATAAAACCAATACAGTGCAATTTAAAACCTAAACATAAAGACATTAAAATAGAATTAAATATTAATGGTATTAAAAAAAAACAGTTGAAATCCTTAAAATGGATTAAAAACAGATTCAGAGCTAAAACCACAGCACCCCTGACTTGATCTTAAAGGCCTCCTGCTTTAGAAGCCTGTTTGAATAAAGAGGTTGTAGCCTGCCACCGGAAGGACAGCACGGAGGAGGTCATTCTGGCTTCCCTGGGAAGAAGGGAATTCCAGAGTCATGGAGCAGCCATTGAGAAGGAAGGCCCACTCTTTTTCTCATTCCCACCAACCAAACTTGTGATGGAGGTGAAGCAAAGAGAAGGGCCTTTCGTGGGGATCTTGGGACACAGGCAGGTTCATACAGGGAAGTCCCAATTAACATGACCAGGCCCCAAGCTCAGGAAGACTGCCATACAACAAATAACCAATGGGAATTGGGAAAAGGAAATATGAAGAAGAAGAGCAGAAGTTCTGATTACTTTGTTTCACTCTTTTGCATGGGTACAGCTTCTGCAAAATGATTTTATGAAAAAATATGTTAATAAACTCAGTGGCTTTGTTTATCTTTGTCTCACACACACCCACGCACCCACGCCCAAAATAAAATACTTGAAACCTCTTTGGAGATTAAAGTCTTTACTGAGCATGAATGTATCACTTTCCTGCAGGTATGAATTAGGAGCAGCTTTGTTCATTGGATGGGCTGGAGCATCACTTTGCATAATTGGTGGCAGTATATTCTGCTTCTCAATTGCTGAAAACAATAAAACTCCAAGGTACAGAACACACCAGCTTTATTGAAATTAATACATTAGCATATTTCTAATTATTAAATGTGTAAGAAGGTAAGCTATGCAGATCCAGTTTGCATATCTTTCAAGAACAACTTTACAGATAGTGTTTGGGACTGATGGGTTGAAAGAATAAAAATGGGGGGGGGGTAAAGATTTTAACTCCCCCTCCCCTTTTAGGAGCACCCCTTGTTTGATAGCGCTTGTCTCTATAAGGTTTTAGCATAGTGTTAGATGCCATGTGGCTTGAAGCGATAGCGAAACCTTCAATTCGTCATATTGATACTATAATGTTTTCTGTTGAATGCAGGTTAGTATTTTAATCATGAATGTGATGATTTGTGAATCCAGGCTAATATATTTGAGTTTTCCAGGCATTCTGTGCTTCCATAGGAGGATGAATGTAAATTGCTAGGCTGAAATTAGGACAATTACCTAGCTTTAACTTCAGCAAGACTAGTGCAGCTGAAGAGATTTTGCCTCTGTTCTGTTCTTTTCCTTCAAAACTCTGCTGCTTGTTTTCTTCCTTCTTCTCTGCCATCACTTGTATTAAGTTGGACACCCACAAAATGTGAGGTGGGGGGGGGGGAGATGCTGAGCAATGGGGTCTGGGAAAGTACAAGGTTGCAGCAACGTATTTCTCTGTTGCACTGCTACTGTTGAAGATAAAAGTTGGGTAGCAATGCAAATAAATTGTCTATTGAAATAAACTATCTTGTAAATTAGTACTTTTTAAAAGAAATATCAGTAAGTTTGTTTTGTCATTATTTTGCCTTTCCTTTACTAGATGCCCTCTAAGTCAGTGTTTCTCAACCTGGGAGTTGGGACCCGGGTGGGAGTTGTGAGGGGGGTTTCAGAGGGGTTTCCAAAAACCATCAGAAAACACATATTTCTGATGGTCTTAGGAACCCTTTTGGCAGAGAACGCTGAAGATCTCTCTGCCTGTCCTTCTCTTCCTTTTTGGTGTTGGTGAACAACTCCCAAAAATCAAAAACAGCCCCCACCCACCCTCACCAGTATTCAAGGTTGGCCATGTAGGTAGTATGCCAAGTTTGGTGCAGATTCATTGTGGGCAGGGTTCAGAGTGTTCTTCGATTGTAGGTTAACTGTAAATCCCAGCAACTACAATTCCCAAATGTCAAGGTTTATTTTCCCCAATTCCACCAGTGTTCATATTTGGGTGTATTGAGTATTCGTGCCAAGTTTGGTCCAGATCCATAATTGTTTGAGTCTACAGCGCTCTCTGGATGTAGGTGAACTACAACTCCAAAATGCATAGTTAATGCGCACCAAACTCTTCCAGTATTTTCTCTTGGTCATGGGAGTTCTGTGTACCAAATTTGGTTCAATTCCATTGTTGGTAGAGTTTAGAATGCTCTTTGATTGTAGGTGAACTATAAATTGCAGAAACTACATACAACTCCCAAATGACAAAATAAATCGACCCTAGCCCCTCCAGTATTCAAATTTGGGTGTATTGGGTATTTGTGCAAAATTTGGTCCAGTGAATGAAAATGCATCCTGCATATCAGATATTTCCATTACGATTCATAACAGTAGCAAACCACCTGTAGCTGTGAAGATCAACAAAAGTATTTGTTTACAAATCAGAGCCAAAACTAGATTGCGTCGCACAGAAAGATTATGTGGGAAAGTTGTTAAGGAAATTCATAGGAAAAGGAATGATCTCAAGTTGTTCACCTTAAGGTAACGTTGTGTTAGAGTGGGAAGCTAAGCCTGAGTTCTCTTGTTCCTGGTTCAATTTAAGCTTTGATTTTGGATTTAATATCCTGGAAGTTTTCTGTGTTCCTGTTCATGTACTCCTGTTCAAGTTTTACCTTCTTGATTGTGGACTTATGCTGTATCTGTGATTTCTGGCTGTCCCTGGACTTTTTCACCTCTGGAACATTTGGATTATTGTCTGGTTATCACCTATTGCTAAACCTTTTGGGATTATATATCATCCTTTCTTATTCCTTTTTTATATGCGTTTATGTTTTTACAATAAACAATTTGCTTGTATTCCTGGACTCTTGTATGGTGTGGTGGTCATAGGTGTTTCCAGGCCTGGAGTGCAACACATATTGAGTAGCATGCCATGGTTGTTAAAGACAACTTGAATTCTTTGGACTAAAGATGCAAACCTTTCTAAGTGAGCAAAACCTTTGACACCAGTGCTCCTACACCAAGAGGTGGATGGGGGCTCCCCCTGCCCCCAAACCTGTTGCTGACATTGACAAATTAAGCAAATGAAGTCTTTTCTGACATGAAATGCAAGTAGTATTTATTGTCTGCTAAATTTCGCTGTGTTCAGTTGCAATTGAAGGTGCKGARCTAGCAAAATTATATGAGAGCCATAACTATTCTGTAGACTTAAATGCATTGAGAGACAAGAAACCATTAATCATTAGACAACAGATCTCCCCCCCCCCCCCTTGGTTGGGCCATTAAGCCTTGACTTTCTAGCTTTGGAAGGCTGCTGGCTATTTGAGTTAGCTATATGTTTTGGTAACCTTAGGGCAACTTAAATACCCTATGCTATGACATTAGTCCATGGGAATGCTTTCCCATGCTTTTCCCAAGTGTCTAATCACAATGAAATCCAGCTTTGTGTGTGTAGTTGCATCTGCCTTCCAGGTAGATGCATGTGCAAATTCCTCCAACATTTGATGGTTTTAGTTAGGAAGCAGCATTCCTGTGTGCCTGAATATTGTAAAATGGCAGCCTTGAAAATGTGTAGTAAAGAATAGCCACACAGGGTGTTTTCCAGGCTGTATAGCCATGTTCCAAATGCCACACATCTTCTCATCCTTGATAAAATATTTATAAATAATCAACTAGCTGAAATATTTTTGCCATTGAACAAGAGTGACAAGACCATTCATTGTCAGAAGAGGGCACAAAAAACTTATAACAGAAAAAGTTTTTTCAACACTTCCCCCCTCACAAAAATGTGTCATGATTTTTAGGGGGAAATTGTTGAATAATGGCCACAGGCCAAGATCCTGCCTCAAGTGACACATCTTAAAAGTTCCAATTAGGTAGAATTGATGTATGTTTCCCCTTTGCCCCTCCAGAATTCACTTCTTACTACATGGCTTGTGGAAAATGGGGTGTATCGGGCTTCTCCAATGCCTCTATCCTCCAATGATCCCCAGATGGATGTGGTGGGGAACTCCTTTGGCTAAAAGCTGGCTTGGGGAAATTTGGGATGTTCTTCAATGACCAAAGAAAAAATTGCAATAAGTCCATATTACACCGTCATTACTAAAGAGAAGCTCGACCTAAACTAATTTCATTCTGTGTGGAAAAATGTTTTGTTCTAATGGGAAAGGAAACACCTCTCTCCACCCAAGATTATGCTTCTATGTTAGTACTTCTAGTCACAAAGAAACTTAATCCTGATTCTTTCTGTTGAACTATTGCTCAAAACAGGTGGCTAGCTATGTCCCTCAAGTTGTTTTCAGCTTACACCTCCCAGCAACTGTAGTCAGCATAGCCAACTTGTAGGTCAAAGATATCTGCAAGGCCATATTTGCCCCCCATTTTCCTAAAAGAATGTTTTTTGGTTTTAGCTACTTCAAGTCAGCAGAAAGGCTAGACAATACCACCACTTGCTGTGGAAAGTCCCTACACTGTTATGGCAATGGTGGTAGCTGCAGAACCAACAAAGAGGAACTAAGGCTGGACGGTTGTAGATGGATAGCTGGTTGGTTTTGGGCATCAGTGCTCAACCAAATCCAGTAAGGCAAGTGTGCACAGATCTAGGTTGTGAACATTTTTTTTTATTTCATGTCAAAAGCATTGCATACATAAGTACAAAACTGATAAAAAGAGAAGGCTCACAAGTGGCTAAATAATTTTAGATCAGGCAACAGCGACCGCATAGTCTATAGCTTTAAACAATTCTTCCACTGTACATGATGCAGAACATTGTGGACAAGCATACAGGTGCGGAGTTTTTTGTTCTGTTCCACAGTCACACGAGGTGGATTCTTTTCGGGTAATTCCATTTTGCCAAGTTGTCTTTTGATCTGCCCACTTTACTTCTGGGTCTGTTCAGGGACTTCCAACTTGCCCATTCTTGGATTGCCCCTGGAGGCAGACCCACGTGGGGGACCATCCAGTTGGGACTTCCTGCTTTAGCTGCCTAGAGGAATGTTGCTGGGGGAACATTAAGAGAAGTGATGGTTCTCTTGAGCAGTGGATGGTTTTCACATTGTTCGCCTTATTTCTCTGTTAGAGTAACTTCCCATCGTACATTGGGTGGGGGGCAATGCCAGCTATCATGTAGGGCAGTGGTTCTCAACCTGTGGGTCCCCAGATGTTTTGGCCTTCAACTCCCAGAAATCCTAACAGCTGGTAAACTGGCTGGGATTTCTGGGAGTTGTAGGCCAAAACACCTGGGGACCCACAGGGTGAGAATCACTGTTGTAGAGTCTATCAACAGGTGTGGGTTTGAGACATCCTGTGATTATTCTACATGTTTTGTTCAGTGCTATGTTCACCTGTTTCGCATGGACAGACTTGTGCCAAAAAGGGCACTCATACTTGGCCGTTGAGTAAGATAAGGCCAGGGCTGATGTTATTAATTTTGGGTCTGCACCCCATGCGCTGCCAGGAAGTTTCTGCAGGATGTTATTGCGTGCAGCTACTTTGTGATTGGTGTTCATGCAATGTTTCCTAAATGTTAGGGTTCAGTCTAAGGTGACACCGAGATATTCAGGTTGGAAACAGTGAACACTCAAAAATCTTTATAAAAGTTTAATCAATTCCACCGATCCAATCTAACTACTTTGTTTTAAAATAGAAATGCTTGTGAAGAATGCTCTCAAGAAATTTAACTGCATTTTAAGTTCTACACAAGTCCATAATTGGCCAGGGTTGACTTTTTCTAATTATTTTCTTCAAATTTGTATAATAGCGGCCTACCTGTTAACTTGAGGATACATCAAACATGTTGCCTCATCTTGGTCTAGCTGCAAGATTTATACATGAATCATGAGCCCACATTAGGGCTTAGCAAATGATTGATCATCATCTATCAAATTCAGAAAGCGTAAACCTAAAGAAGTTTAGTCATGAGTCTGTTCTGTGGAACCCTGCTGTCTGTCCCCAGGCAAGTCTCCATATGATTGCAGGCTGTTATTACTTGGAAATGCCATTTAGTTTTATGAATGCATAGAATTGGGCCATAAATCTGAAGTCCTATTCCTTAGTTACTGAATTCAATAGTGTTTAATTTTAGTTGTACAGCCTTGCAGCACAAACCTACACAGATCTACTCAGAAATAAATCACCAGGCAGTGTTTCTAGGATTGGATTGGCAGACCGATATATTCAAAGTATAAATGAAACTTTCCAATGAAAATCTCATTTCAGCAAGGTACTAGTTTTATGAGGAGAAATATAGCATTTTTCCTTATTAATATCTGCCACTTTGAGAAACTAAACTGTAAACTTTTTCATTTTTCAGGTTGGGCTATGCATATAACAGAGCTGGTTCTGTGGTGTCTGCTCGAACAAAGGCCTGCAATGGCTCAGATTTCAAAACATCCAAAGTCCCTCCAAAGCACTTTGACAAAAATGCGTATGTGTAGCCACATGGTTCTAGTAGTCAATGTTTAAAAATCGTGTTTGTTCATTCACATAATGATTTTTGAAAGGTACTCATGTCACCAGGAACCACTAAAAAGAATATTTTATAAATGAACAGTTGTCTACTTGATGTAAATTTTCCTCATGCTTTGTTTGAAGATTTATACTGATGTTTTACATAATAACTGTAAATCATTTACTTTTTGTGCCTGCTGTAAAAAAAGTATTTACAAATAAACACATAGTATTGGTTATGATTTATAGTGATAACGTTCTGCAGATTGAATACTGAAAGTGATTTCATGAATCTTTCAGATGGATACTTGTTGTATGTCTGCCTTTGAGATTGTGGGACCAAGTGTAAATATACATTTTAAAAAGACTAAGCTGCATCTATACTTTAGAATTACTGTAATACAGTTTGACAACACTATAACTGCCATGGTTTGCAGTGAGAATTCCAGTATCACAAGGTCTTCAGCTTTCTCTGTCAAATAGTGCTGGTGCATCACCATCAAGTCTCTGATGGTGCAATGGGTTAAACCTTTGTGCTAGCAGGACTATTGACCAAAGGGTCAGCAGTTCAAATCCGGGGAGCGGGGTGATCTCCCGTCAGTCAGTTACAGATTCCCATGCAGGGACATGAGGAAAACCTCCCACAGGATGGTAACACATGTGGGCATCCCCTGGGCAATGTCCTTGCAGACAGCCAATCCTTTTACACCAAAAGTGACTTGCAGTTTGGTCACTTCTGACATGAAAAAAACCCCAAACTATAACTCCTGGTTCCATAGCATTAATTCATGGGAGTTAAAATAGTATCAAACTGCATTAATTCTAAAGTGTAGGTGCACTCTGAGCCAAGTATGCCGAAGCACAATCCCAGTAAGTAGCCTACCATGAACCACAATAAATTACCTTCCAGATCATTGGCTCCTGAATCACTTTGTCCAGTAGCCAAAAATCTGCCCACTATAGTTAATTTTGGGATGCCACACAAAAATTAATACTTCTCTCTGCAAGTATCTCAGAGGTGAATATCACTAGAAACTGCTGAGTCTTTGTGAAGAGGAATGTATGCAAGTGGTTGCCATGGTTTATCATGGGACTGCCCTTGAAAAATGTCACTATCTTCATCTGAGAAGGAGCCTATCTCCTTTCATTACAAATTTTGGTTCACATAAAATTGCTGTGATGGCTCTGTCACATGAGTCATAAAGTACTTCGCTTAAAAGTACATAATTAGTTGTAAATGCTTCCGGGCACTGAAAAGCAGACAGCAAAAGGGCCTTCTGTGACCTTTGCCGATCGGTCCCCGTCTGTGATTTCTCTCCAGCACAAATGGTGGAAGAGGAAACAAACACAAAACTTGTATTCCTTCTCAATGCCTCCAAGCACTTAAACTCTGAACCCACAGAAAGATCTTGCAATCCTGGGTGTCACGTGTGTTTGGCCACAAAAGCTGAAGATGATGAGTTTGTTTATCCTCAAAGGTGCCACAAAATGTGAAATGGGGTGGTGAACTGAATTCCACCATCACAAAACCTTGGTGGATTGAATGCATCTAGGGGCTTTTGTCATACTATTGGATTCCCAGCTAAAGTGCTGGACAGAACTTTTCACAGAGGAGTTCAACCAGCAAACCGGCTTCCCTCCATCCTCTTCCCTGCGTGTGAGGGAAGGAATCGGCACTTCCAGAAATCCCTTGAGATAACTATGCTTCATTTCCCTGCCCTCCGACCACATTGCTCCAATCTGCTCTGAGCCAGTGCTCTCAGAAGATTCAAGGAGCCTCGACTCAGAGGGACAAGACTGCTCTCCCCTTGCTTTTACCTGGACAGAGTGTTTCTATTATTAGTGAGGTTTTATTTTTCATGTGAGAGAGCAGAGATCCTGCACTTCCCATATAGTAGGGAGGCACTTGGGAAAGGAATAATCTGTTGGGCCAAGTGAGGCTTTGGTTTATGGCACATGTGTCAAACGCAAGGCCCAGGGGTCAAATGTCATTTTATATTACCCTGTAGAGATGCTGGACTACAACTGCATTATTCCTCATCATTAGACACACTTTTTAGAGCTGTTGGGAGCTGAGATACAGGAACATCTGGAAGGCCATAATTTGCTGTTTAATCAGGATAGAGGGGTCTGAATTTAGATACATGGCTTGTGGATAGGATGCCTGACTTTTAAATGTCCTTTAGCCTTTCTCCAACCGCACGGCCACAAGTGCAATCCCCATTATTTCCAGTCCCATGTCTGGTAATTAAAAATGATGGGAGTTGTCATTCAATAACATCTGAGGACACAAATTGGGTAAAAACTAAAGAACATCGACCACTATGTAAAAAAAGGTATAGCTGACCCTCTGTATCCATTGATTCTCCATCCATTGATTCAACTGCCCTCTGAAGGTAACCATAAAGCTGATGTGGCCCTCAATGAAAATGAGTTTGACACCCCTGGTTTATGATCAGTGGAAATAAAGCACACAAATATGGACATTGCAAATTCCAATACAAGGCCTGCGAAAGCTATGCTAGCATTGCATCCCAGCAAGTGTACTCCTCTAGCCAACTTTTCTTTTTGTTAACAAAAGTCATTTTGCTAATATCCTACAGAGAAGTGCTTAAAAATGGAAGCCATTTTTTCCCAGCCTCTGCAATTTTCTCTATGGGTGTGAAGGAAGAAAGGAACGTTTGAAAGAAAATAGATCATTTGTTTAATAAGTTCTTGCTTTCTGCAAAGTTTGATACAAACATTCTTTTAAAAAAAGATAGATTTCTTGCAATTACTTAAAATAACCAAATTAGTTAATACTGTTTATTAATAAGAACCTCTTCCTTAAAAGTGCAGAATGATGCTGAAGTATGTAAACAACCCTGTATTAAATCAAAGGGAACAGAGACACCAGAGTTTTTGTAAACAAAAGTTCCTTGTTAAATATACAGAAGAAAAAATGAACAGAAATTGGATTGCTGTAGATAAAAACCTCCCTTCAGAGACAAGAATCAGAGGAGTCGCTCCAGTCTGTTACACTGACCAAGCTGCTTTTTAACATACTTTGATCTGCATCTTGAAGACCTGTTTTAAAAAAAAATGGCAGAATTACCTTTAAACAGCAGAAATTCTAGACTTTTCCTCTGTGACTTGTGCTGGTATTCTTAAGATTCGGAATATTCTTCCTAATGACTGGGCGAAATATTTCTGGATGAATTCTGATCTCCTTTAACCAAGCAGGACAATCCAGGAACAAGCAATGCAATACTCAGAGAGGAGGGCCCACTAGGCAACAAGAAGTACAATACAGTGTGTATTGTGGGACATCTCCAGCATCCACCATTCAAAATGCTTGAAGATGCCCCAGACTCACATTGCTGTTCTATAGTTCTCTGCCTAATAATAATAATAATAATAACTTTATTTCTGTTCCTCCCTATCTCCCCAAAGGGTATCAGGGCAGATTTCAACATACAGTGGCATACATTCAATGCCTTCATAAAACCAACAGACAATGACATAAAATCCCAGAGAGACCCCACTCCTCCCTTTATTCTATAGGGTGTTTCAAAAAGATGGACCCAATTTGAACTCACTATATCTCTGTAACTATGAAGCGCTTACAAAACTCTTACTCTTGGAAAGGATGGGCATAGACTTTCCAACGACTGCCGCTAGATGCCTCTCCCAGCACACAACAGCCCCAAGCCTCAGCCATTCACAAGATCTGCCTTCCTATTATATTGCTTGGTCCTTGGCTTGGTAAGACTGACTACCAAAACATTTCCATCCGTTTAAATATGAAACGGCTTCCAAAACAGGAAAAAAGACATAAATTTGAAGAGCAGCAAACCTTCCGTTTAATGTGCCATCTTCCCAAAGATCCATTCATCAAGCAACTCTTGACCTCTGAACACATCCACTGTCTCATAGCTTAAAATATGAAGGTTTGGGGAGATGATTTGCCCTCTAAACGCTTGCCACCAAATTTCACTAGAAGCCCCTTGAAGTCCAAACCAGAAGTCCCTTAAGGGATCAGGAGTTTCACGATGACTGATTCTGAGTTCCTAAAACCCATTGATGATCTGCTGGAACTCATCACAGTTGCCCACCCTTGCCCTAGAGCAATCCTCACCAACCTGTGGCCCTCTAGGTGTTTCGGACTTCAGCTCCCAGAATTCTTGGCCATTGGACAAGCTGGCCAGGGCTTCTGGGAGTTGGAGGTCCAGATACCTGGAGGGCCACAGGTTGAAGAGGCTGCCCTGGAGTAAAGACTCTAGCAAAGAAACATGTAAGCAGTTGAAACAAAAGTGGCACCAGCCACAATGAGACTGAAGTGGTCCAGGTCTGACAATTTTAAACAGGGACACATTAGTAAAGGATTGGATGCCAACACTAGGAGAAGGCTTACATCAAAAGCAGTTCCACAGAGAACGTATGTGCAAGTGTCTGTGGAAAGGAGACTAAAATTACTTTCCTGCAGGGAGAGGCATGTGACAAAACGGAATCTAGGAATATCAAAAACACTGTTATCATCCATATACCTTCATCCTTTGTTGGTTTTCCCACTGGACCTCTCCAAGCATGGGGTTTGGATGGAGCATTGGACTCATTTTTTTCAAGGCTAGACGCATCTTTCACTTTCCGATCTTTTGGTGGTGACAGTTTTTCGTCCTCCCAGGATGATATATCCCAGTCATCCTCATCCTCGTCATCATCGTCAACTCCGGTGAACTATCAAGAAAATAAATACGCCCAATTTCTCAAACTCTGAACAAGTTTTCTGCCTGATCTTTTTTATGTGGACATTGCAATAATAATTGCAAGGCCTATGCAGTCAATTTTAACCTATGACTTGATTTGAAGCCAGAAGTCAGAAGACCTTTTGACCCCAAGACTTATAGATGGAAAATATATTGGATGTAAATACAGAACGAGAGACAGCATGATGATAAAATGATAAAAACATTAATCTACAAACAATCTAAATGAAAACTGTAGAATTTTCTTCGTAGATATTAATAATAAATAAGTTAATAAAAGTTTTAATGGGAAATAATGAAACTGCTATGAAAAATTCAGTTTAATTTCTGGAAAAAGATATATGAAGACCAGAAGACAAAATGAGAAGATAGAAGAAGATACAACCAATGGACTTAATATTAAAATTGTGTGTAATATGTGTTCAAGAAATAGAGATGATGATTTGCTGTAACAATGATAATATTGACCAAGGCTTATATGGCCGGAATCACTGGATTGCTGTGAGTTTTCTGGGGTGTATGGCCATGTTCCAGAAGCATTCAGGAGAAAATGTCAGGAGAGAATGCTTCTGGAACGTGGCCATACAGCCTGGAAAACTCACAGTAACCCAATGATAGTATTGTAAAAGAACTTCTCATTCCTCAACAACCTTCACTCACCCTCTTTGTTTTCTCCTTGCAACATACTGGACATTTGTAAAGATACAACTAATCAATAATTAACCTATCATCCCCAAATTTCTCCCTTTCAGATAAAATTTTCTCATAATATTAATGCAATCGCTACAAATAAAATTGAGTACCTTTACTCCTTGGGCACCCTTTTGAATAGGCACTGGGTCAACACTAATTCCTTCAAGGGGTTTGCATACTTTTCCTTGGCTCAAAGGCAGCTTTTCAGCTTTGTCGCACCCTTTCTGGACAGGCGTGTCTACATGATTACAAAGGAACAGGGTGTCTGGTGAGTTTATAAGCCACATGTTTTAAGGATACAATGCAATATCTCATATACTATGACTGCGCCATTTTCTACTTTGTTCCAATAAGACTTATGAGCTTATGCAGCGATCTCCTTTCACAGGCTTAAACCTAATAACTATCCCAATGAGTGTGAGTTTTTCACATAAATGTCAATTTACCATTTAACAATGGATTCAGTGAGTTTACTCCAGTCATTACTAAAATTAGATTTAGATGTGTTTTTTCAGGTATGCCATCCTGGTATTTCAGCACTAGTCTGGGTAACACAGATGATGAGGAACTACCTGCAGATGAGGGCGTGCAGTGACACAAAGTGGATGCAACATTCATTCCATCCATTGCAGGAGCAAAGAAAAGGCTGCAGAAGGAAGAAGCTACTTCCTCCATATCAAATGCTGTAAGGACTCTCTGTTCCCTCCTCACTAACCCTGAGTGGACTAGAAAAGATTCCTACAAGCTACTAACTGTTACGGATCTATTAGGTTTCCTGATTATGGCTCACAAATCAATTATAATATAGATCACTGCTTCTTAAACTGTGGGTTCTGATCCCAAATGTGGTCACCTTAGCTCAATATTGGAGTCACAAACATTTTAACAACAGTAAAGGTTTCTGAATGCCACCAGCAGCTGTTTTAGATATTTACACAAATCTGTTAGTAACAACTTCCAGTGTTTACAGTGGACTCTGCAGAAAATGCTGCAGCTATACTTCACAAAAAGGGGAAATGGCCTAATCAGCAAGCTTAGCAAATGCTGGTTGATCAATAAATGTTTGATTTTTATACATATTTTATATATCTATATACTTGGGGTCATATAAAAATTTCTTTGTCCCAAATGGGTCATGAGAGGGGAAAAGTTTAAGAAGTCTTGATATAGATTAAAGTTACAGAATATAACACATTCAAGAACTTCCTCATCCTGAAACAAACCTTAGCTTGTTAAAGTTAAAATGTCTGGAGTGAATTTACATTTACTCTTTGTTCTTTGCATTTACTTTTAAAAAATAAATGCCAAACACAGGCAAAATTAAACATTTGGATTAGAAAGGGGTGAGTGGAGGCACAGCAAACGAAGCACTCTGTGCTCTTCACAGCTCATTGAGCAGTGAAGAGAGGACTTGGAAGCTTCTGGAACTGCTACAATATCTATCAGTGCCATACCTATATGTGTGGTGGCAAGTCATGAACTGGCCTTGGGACAATGTGACCAAAAGTTGCTCAGCATTGTAAATTGGAGCAATGGGATAACAGATCACAGTTACACCTCGTTAGAAAGTGTTGGATGCCTTCAGTTCCTCCTCAAGGCTACCCACAATATCAATGTTCTTACTTTTTGAAGGTTGAAGGTCTGGTTTGATTTCTTCCACCTCGTCTTCTTCAGATGAGTTTATGTCATCTCGGCCTGCAAACCTTGGCAAGCTGCCCTTGCTGTTACTCTTGGCTGCTTTGCGCTGTGAGAGTTCGGGGGAGATGTAGGACTGCATGATATTATTCTCTTCCAGTTCCTCCTCAGAGCTAAATGGAGGGGTTCTAGGAGTAGAAACACACTCAGCCTGTTTAGGTAATAATGTATTTTAAGAAAACATACACACACATGTATAAGCACACCAACGTCTTATTTAATCAAATTTTGGTCACCATCTTCATTGGCGTAACTAGAGTCTCTCTGAGTTTACTGATTTCTCTCTTCAAAGGTAAGAAATGTGGGAGAGAAGTGGCCTGTCTCTAGTGAAAATGATCTGAGAACCAAATACAGACAGAGCATTGCTATTTTAATACTAATTAATCCAGAGAACTGTCATCCTAAGGAAGAGAGATTAAATAATATAGTGCATTTCCATTAACCCAAATTGTTGTCCATATGTGCCAGATCCACAGGGAAATGCTCTCTGATGAGAAATATTGCAGAGGCGTCAAATTCATTTTCACTGAGGTCTGCACCAGCCTTATGTTTTCCTTCAAAGGGCTGTTTGTAATTGTAAAATTGTACAAATATAACTGTATGGGTCATAATAAATTATGGCAAGTTCTTGATGGTATGGGGATACCAAGTCACTTTGTCTCCTGAGGAATCTGTAAATCTTCATTCACAAACAGCTCCTCTCTTTATATGAAGTATTTTTTTTATTTACCACATTTGTACCCCGCCCTTCTCACCCTGAAGGAGACTCAAAGTGGTCTTACAAAAGGCAAAAATTCAATGCCATACAGTTACATATCAATAAAATAAGCCAATACGTTAAAAAGCAAACGTTTAAAAACACCAACATTAAAGCATCATTAAAATCATGCCATCCCAAATCATTATCCAGGGCCGTTCCATTTGTCATTATATCAGTTTCATAGTCACTTATTGCACTGCTCAATACTAGCCAAAAGTTTGGTCCCACAACCATGCTTTTAGTTTTTTTCCTGAAAGTCATGAGGGAGGGGGCTGATTTAATTTAGCCGAGGAGGGAGTTCAATGGACAAGGAGCCACCACTGAGAAGGCTCTGTCTCTCATCCCCACTAGTCAAGCCTGTGAAAGAGGTGGGATCGAGAGCAGGACCTCCCCAGTTGATCTTAACGTCCAAGATGGTTCATAGAGATAGATACGTTCAGACAGGTAAGCTGGGCTGGAACCATTAGGGGCTTTATAGACTAAAGCCAGCACTTTGAATGGTGCTCAGTAGCAGACTGGCAGCCAGTGAAGCTGATGCAACAAATTTACTTTTCTTCTCTAGTTTAAAAACAGGAGGTTCTCAGCAAAATGTAGATTCACACCCATTCCTGACCAATCTAAAGAAACACTTACGCAACACTCTGCAGCCTCTTGGGAATTTCATCCCCTACTGCACTCCTCTTGTTCCTAAAAGATAGAAGAATCAAGAAAAAATTAATGTGTAGCTTCTGCTGCCTACCAGGAAGTTTTATGTGGCAGATTTTACTGTTTTAGGAAAACCATTTTGGAAGTGGATTACAGAGGCTGTAAAGATGCCAAAACACCACACTGAACATTCAATGAACTGATCATTCCTCCCTCTGCAAAAATATATTAAATATCACTGTGGATGGTTAAATACATTCTTTTCAGCTTCCTTCACTTCTTTCTTGTTTTTCTATCACAAGGACAGCTCACAACAATAGCCAACAATCTTAATTAAGAGGTTCCTCTTACTTTGGTGTGGATGTGTTCTCGGCAGGGATTTGTCGCGGTACACAAGGGCGTTTAGCAATGGAGGAACGTTTTGCTGCCTTGGGCTGGGTTGTTGAAACGGAACCTCGAACATGAGCTGCCCTCTGCTGAACTGTAATGAAAGACAAATTATAAATAAGCAGAACACAGGCAGTCCAAAAGAAACCCAAGTGGGAGTGCTAGTAAGGAAAATAGGGGAATATCACAAATGTGAATACAAGATGGGGGAAAGAATCTAGTCTCTTCAGTTTCCTTTCTGCCAGCTAAACTGTATCTAACAAATGTACACAGAGGAATGGCCTTCAAATCCCTCCTTGATGGGTTTTTCAGAGTTTGGAAGAGTTACTTTTTTGGATACCAAAATAGACATAAATAAAAGTTATGGCTAGATAGTATAGTATAGTATAGTATAGTATAGTATAGTATAGTATAGTATAGTATAGTATAGTATAGATAGTAGTCATATGAAGTGAGATCACTAGTCTGTTTAGTTCAGTATTGTCTAAATCAACTGGGGGGGAAACTCTCCTAATCATCAGTGGGATCTTTTTCAGCCCTACCTAGGGACTTTGAACAGGAGACTTTCAGCATCCAAAGCAAAAGTCTTGCAATGAAGCTAAGGCCTATGTATTGTACAGTGATTACATGCTGTACATACATGCTATGTAAAGAATTAAAAAATAGCAAGCTTGCTCCTCTACGTTGGAAAGAGGTTTTATAAACTAGGTATTCCTTTTGTACAAAGTAAAAAAGCATCGTCTGTGATCAAAGGCAATAAACCAATCTGAGTTATCACAGTGCCAGACAATCCATTGGTTAAATTTCCATTTTTAACATATGAGAAAGGAGCTGGTTACACATGAAAGAGTAGTTTAGGGCAGAAGTAATATGGCTTGACTCTTAACCAATTCCTAATATTCTTTCTGTGATAAGGTATTCCACCAGATAGTATTACTGATCAATATTTTTAATAATTATTTTGCATTCACTAATGCCTATGGTCCAAGAAAATTGTGTGTGTGTGTTTTACTCTGCAGCAATAGGATGAACATCCTTTGCCATCCCACTTGATCCATTCACCTGCCAAAGCTTGCACACTAGTTTATCTTAAATATCATCCTCATATAAAGATGATAAAGATGTGTATCTACACAAGTTCTATGGAAGAGAGAATCTCATCCAGTCAGGGTTTCACATAGGCAATGGCAGGCTTCTTAAACTTTTTTCCAATCATGATCCCTTTTTGTCTGACCACAGATATATAGATATATAAAACAGGTATAGAAATAAAACATTTACTTATAGCAAATCAGCATTTTTAAGGCTTGCTAAACAGGCTGATTTTCCCTTTTGTGGAGAACAGCTGAAGCATTTTCTGCAAAGTCCACTGAAATGCTGCACGTTGTTGTTAACAGATTTGTGTAAATAGGTGGCTTTCAGAAACCTTTTACTGTTGATAAAATTTTCAGGACCCCAACACTGAGCAAAGAGGACCCCATATGGAGTCAGGACTCATAATTTAAGAAACAGTGTGAGCTATGGAAACATTTTCTGTACAAAACCAAGAAATGCTACTGTCTTCACTGACTGTTGCTAAAACGAACTAGGCAGAGATGCAAATTCCTTATTAATTAAATTGTTTACATATACAAGCATTTGGTTTTTTAAAATTCACTAGTGAACACACTAATATATTTTACATAAAAGAGGCTCTGATTAATCATGCATACATGAGGAAGTGAGAGTACTGCAAACCAAAAGCTTATCTGGGGGTAAGAGTTAGAAATCATCGCACCTTCTGGAGAAAGCTGAGGACTGGACAAAAACCTGCTGCAAGATACTCTTTCTGCAACTCTAAAGCTGACTTGCCGCTCAAGCTGCTCTCGTATATGTTGAATATCAGGAACCTGTTTCTTTCTTTCTTCTCTTGCAGACTCAACAGACATGAGGACTCTATTCAAGTGATCACTTGGGATGCCATGAACTCCCTGAGAGTGGGGTTGAGAAAGCATTACATCCTAATATACAGTTTGCACAATGCTTCGAAAATTAACATTACTTAAAAACTCAACCACAGAGAAGTATATGAACCATCCTTTAGAAAGATATTGATGCTATGGGATCTTGTATAAATGGAATTTCATGTACTCCCATTTATGACTGGGTTCGACCTTTCACAGAAGTCTTGTGGGGCTCAGAGGAGAAATTAAACTGCTTTCCCATTCACGGAAAGAGTCTCCTTGAAGACTGAGTAAATACAATTAGGCGTCCCCTGGACAATGTTTCTGGTAAACCGCTAATCTTTCCAACCCAAAAGCATTGCTTTACAACATTTTTAATTTATGCAATGCTTTTGAAACTAAATAAATATAATTGACAAAATTAGAGAGATGACTTGATCTAGGAAAAGCTGAGACTTTATCTAGGAAAAGCTGAGACTAGGTCTAAAGTGACTGGGATGATCCACTCTATAGATAGAAAAACCTGACATTAGATGCAATTAGTGTCTATGCAAACATCAATTCTGGTTGAACTAACCAATGGTTATTTCTAAATAGTCAATCACACGCAACAGTAGTTTTTCAAACAAGTGGATTTCGTGATGACATATTTCTGTTTATATGAAAACATGAAGTCTTGAAAAAAATAGATAATAAATAACAATCTCTGAAATCCATTACTTTTCCAAATGTACTGCATCATATGCCTACATTTATTCCTCAATGTTATATAGATGGCCCTTCATTTTAGCAGAGATCACGGTTACATCACCCTATGAAAGTGGAAAAATGACAAATATTTCCAAGGAGGAAATGTGGCGGCACCGTTGTAGTCCTAAGGAGAAGAGCAGAAGGACCAGACCCCATTCCACCTCCCCTATGAATCCCATCTCCTTTTTCTCTTCCAGAGCCATAATACACAGGGCAAGTGAAGGGATAAACAGGACCTGCTCCTCCTCCTCTTTTTATTGTACTTTAAGTGACAACTACCACATATATTTAAGTATAAGCTGACCCAATATAAGCTGAAGCACCTAATTTTACCACAAAAAAAAAATGAGAAAATGTATTGACTCGAGTATAAGCCGAGGTTGGGAAATGCAGCAGCTACTGGTAAATTTCAAAATAAAAATAGATACCAATAAAATTACATTAATTGAGGCATCAGTAGGTTAAATATTTTTGAATATTGACATAAAACTGTAATTTAAGATAAGACTGTCCAACTCTGATTCAACCATTATTCTAACCTTCTTCAATGTAAATGTGCTTACGTATCCTTCTAATAATAATGAGAGTAAAATAATAAATGTAATAATAATAATAGAGTAAAATAATAGAAATGTAATAATAATAGAGTAACATAATAAATGAATCAAAAATAATAACAGAGTAAAATAAAAGTGAAATAAAATAATAATAGAGTAAAATAATAGAAATGTAATAATAATAATAATAATAATAATAACAATAACAACAACAACAGAGTAAAATAATAAATAACTTTGACGAGTATAAGCCAAGAGGGGCTTTTTCAGCCTAAAAAAAGAGCTGGGTGGGAAATGTGCCCCAAAGCTATTATTATTGTTATTATTAAATTATCAACAATTATTAGTGTGGATTTTAAATTCATTTTAAATTCAAAGGGAATCATTATATTCAAGATATTATATTATATTATATTATATTATATTATATTATATTATATTAAAACACGAGTTTGTGCATTAACAGTTTAACTTCAAGGACTCAGCCCACTTCATAGAAAAAATCAGCAATCTCAAGCTAAATACAAACGACAAACTGATCAGCTTCGATGTGGTATCTCTATTTACCATGGTCCCGGTAGCAGACACCATGGCACTCATCAACCAGAGGTTCCCAGAAGACATCACGGCTCTGTTTCACCATTGCCTTACCACCAGTTACTTTCAGTGGGACAATGAATTCTACGAACAGAAAGATGGAGTAGCTATGGGGAGCCCTCTCAGCCCGGTCATAGCTAACTTCTACATGGAACACTTTGAAAAACAAGCCCTGGAAACAGCAACCAAAAAGCCCAATATGGTTCAGATATGTGGATGACACCTTCACCATTTGGAGCCATGGAGAAGAAGAACTCAACAGGTTCCTGGACCATCTTAACAGCATCCACCCAAACATCCAATTCACAATGGAAAAAGAAATGAAGGAAGACTGCCTTTTCTAGATGTCCTAGTCATCCGCAAACCAGATCAACAATTGAGTCACACCGTCTACAGAAAACCCACACACACAGATAGATATCTACATAAAAACTCCAACCATCACCCAAGTCAAAAAAGAAGCACCATTAAAGCCTTGGCAGACCGTGCAAAAAGAATCTGCGAACCCCACCTCCTCCAAGATGAACTGAACCACCTCAACTGGGCTCTCCAGGCCAATGGGTACTCCACCTCAGACATCAGAAGAGCTGCAAGACCAAGAACAAGCCACGAGAGTCAAGATGAAGATCCACCCAGAGGAAAAGTGTTCCTGCCATACATCAAGGGAACCACTGACCACATAGGGAAGCTGATGAGGAAACAACATACAAACAATCTACAAACCCACCAAGAAAATCCAACAAATGCTACGTTCAGCAAAGGACAAGAGGGATCCTCTCACCTCTGCAGGAGTCTACTCATATACCATGCAGCTGTGGACAAGTCTACATAGGGACCACCAAACGCAGCGCCAAACACGAATCAAGGAACATGAAAGGCACTGCAGACTACTTCAACCAGAGAAGTCAGCCATAGCAGAGCACCTGATGAACCAGCCTGGACACAGCATATTATTTGAGAACACAGAAATGCTGGACCACACCAACAACCACCATGTCAGACTACACAGAGAAGCCATTGAAATCCACAAGCATGTGGACAATTTCAACAGAAAGGAAGAGACCATGAAAATGAACAAAATCTGGCTACCAGTATTAAAAAACTCTAAAATTAACAGCTAAACAACAGAGAGGAAAAAACCAGGCACAGATTAACACCTCCCAGCAACAGATTTTCCCAGGCTCAGGCAGGCCTTCAAATGCTAATGAAGGTGATCAGCTAAACATTCACACCTAACTGCAGCAGGGAAGAGCTCCTTGCCCCACCCCAGCCATTCCACAGATATATAAACCCCTTTTTCCTACTTCCAACAGACCTCACAACCTCTGAGGATGCTTGCCATAGATGCAGGCGAAACGTCAGGAGAAATGCCTCTAGAACATGGCTCTATAGCCCGAAAAAACCCACAAGAACCTAGTTTAACTTCTATCGGCTTCTACCTAATTTTGAAGGACCTTCATAAGAAAATTGAAAAAATTATTTGTTGCAGTCTAATGCCTTAAATCTTGAGTGAAGTCTTGAGAGTCTGCAGACACAAAATATATTTAAAAGGTGGCCTATGATGAATAAAAGATTGAGAATCACTGGTCTATTTTGGCTGATGAATAATAGGGGCTGTGATCAACAGACCGAGAGGGCACAAGGTTGGGGAATGCTGAACTTCAAGGAAATGCACTGTCTATCCAAAAAGTTTAAAGTAGTCTTACTGATTTGATGCCCAAGGATTCCAATTTCTCTGCTAGCGTCTGCTCCAAAACAGCTCTCAGCTCTCTTGTTAAAGAAGGATTGCTCTTCAGACTATGTATTATATGGCACTTACTTTTTCCTACTTTGGGCGAACTTTTCTCCATTTCTGAAAGAAAATAGGTTTATCTATTTACAAACACACCACATCCATATCAGATATCAATATATGATATGTTATATATGATATCAATATATGACATATTAAAAAGGCAAAACTAAAAAAACAAACAAACAGAATTGCTACTGTACACCAAAATATCTGTACCACATTATGTTGTCTTTTGTAATCCATGTTTAATTAATTTTTTTATTTCTAATTTTAAAAAACTCTTCCCATCCCCACAAAACCCTATACTTTGCAATTTGTTGGCTATGAAAAATCAAGGTTCACATCTTAACTTGGACATGAAGGTTACTGTCATTCTGGTACATTTCGCATGTATATTGGCCAGTGTCAAATATAAGAATAAGAATAATTGTACAGCCTGAAAAGCACTACCAGCATAAGAATAAGAGCAGCAGTAGCAGGAATTTATTACTATCCTTTTACGTGAACCTGTGCATGCAAAGTCTACCCATCTTACTCCTTATGAACTTTGAAAACTACTTCAACAACACAGCATGGACTACATGAACTACTCCAACAACTACCTCTTCTTGAAAAACATCATGAATACAGGCACAAGAAGAAACACCAGAAAGCCAAGAGGTGCAAGAACAGAATTATCCACATACATTATAAAGCAGGCGTAGTTGGATAGTGGTCTGAGAGGCAAACATCATATGTGAAAAATCAAGATGATTGGCCAGAAACTTTCCAGAACAGAGACTTCTTCATTCAAAAGTAATACATGATACGAGTTCCCTTTCCAGGACTTTGAGTATAAATTAAGACATCGTCCGAAAGCCAATTACCCAGATTGCAGAAAACTTATGACAAAAGGGCCCCATTAGTGAGAGCTGTGAGATGGGCTGGGAATGGACTTCCAGGAAGACTGGTGTTAGATTTTAATAAATGGGCAAGACAAAGAGTTAATCAGGAGTGACGACTTTTGGAAAACCCACATAGGGAAAATCATAGTGCTCTGGTCATTTGTTCTATAATCTAGTTTGAAAGAAACCCTCTCATGAAACATGATTGAAAGCAGTGCGACAAAGCTTTGAAAACCACTTTCTTGAGCCCCCAATAAAGCATTACCATAACTGGCCCCAGAAACTTTGGTTGTTCCTACCATTACCTTTTTCATCCTCTGGAAGCTCCTCTATGGGCTCCAGCATGTGCACCAAAGGGGGCTGTTCTAATAATGAGGAAACACAGGAATAGCACAGACAAAAAGACAGATAGACAGGACAGAAGTAGGTCAAGATAAAAGGACTAGAGGGTGAAATCATACAGAATATAGAGAGAATTCAAATTGGATCCCTTTTCTCCTCATTTTTTAAGATTGGAGGTCAGTTATTCATCACAACAAAGTTTATATGACTTTTAATGAGTATCTGGGTTAGCATATCTGCCCACCAATGACATTTGAGGGATTGGAGTATTTCCCATCATATTCAACTACAGTTATGTCCCTCAAAGCCGATAAATGGCTCCTTCTAGGAGAAGGTGATGACTGTTCCCTCTCTTACAAAAGTATTAATTCCTGGATTCAGTCAGTTGATCTTCTCTGACCACATGCAATAAACCATGAAGGTTAGCTGTACCATACTCATATACTCTGTTGCTGAAAAGGAGATGAATTAATTTTAAAATTAATTCTAACAAAGGTAGGAAGGTTGGAACAGGGGAGGAAGAAAGAGAAAGACATAGAAACAGAACAGACCTGCAGAGATAAATAAAATATACAATCACCAGCTAAATCATCCAAAGTTAGTATCCACACTGAACTCAAAGCCCCCTGGTTTTGCATAGTTTTTTTTCCGTGTCAGGAGCAACTTGAGAAACTGCAAGTTGCTTCTGGTGTGAGAAAATTGGCCGTACGTAAGGACATTGCCCAGGGGATGCCCAGATGTTTTACCATCCTGTGGGAGGCTTCTCTCATGTCCCCGCTGGAGCTGACAGACAGGAGCTCACCCCGCTCCCCAGATTCGAACTGCCAACCCTTTGGGCAGCAGTCTTGCTGGCACAAGGATTTAACCCATTGCGCCATTGGGGGCTCCTGTTTTGCATATTTAAAATTGTTCATCTCTCTCTCTCTCTCTCTCTCTGCATCTTCAGAAATGTCTGAAAATCCCAGTACTCGTATTGTGAAAACTACCAGAAATCTCATCTGACACTAGAGGTTTAAAATTTAAAATAAATTGAGATGATGTCCCAATACCTATCCAAAGCAGAAGGAATGAAACAGATAAAAACAGTGACCAATGCAGCCACCTAGCATATGATAAAACTGCCTCTGATCCTAAATGTATCTGTAACATTCAGGATAGAATTGCTATTTCAATTCACAAAAGTGGAGATGGGGAATGTCTGGCCTACGGGCCATATAAGGGCCATGAAGTAATTTCCTCTGGCTGTATGGCATCCACGGCTGCCCCCTCCTCCCTCCCTCCTTCTTTCTGCTGCCGTTGGTCTGCCTGCCTCCCTCCTTCTTTCTGCCGCCTGTCGCTTAACTCCTCTGAGAATGTGGCTGGAGGGAAGTGACCCAGCCTGGGTAGAGGATCCATGGCCCAGACAGACTCCCCAACGAACTGCCCAAGTGGACACCCCCTCTCCTGACTGGCAGCCCCTTTCATCCCTCCATCTGGGTTTCAGCATCACCCAAGAAGTTGCTGAGACTGCCAAGGCTGCAATTATTGGGCAAGTCTGTTTGGCCACCCTGCCCCCATGGTTTGAGTATAATTTCCCTTCCCTGGGCCCTCACTGTCCCCAACATCAGAGATCCCCTTCCTTTCCACCTGGGGCCCTCTGTAGGGTCTGCAAATTATAAACATTCAAATAGCCCTTGGTAGAAAGAAGGCTCCCCACCTCTGGACTAAAGTGCTTGACAGCACGGCTGCCACGTGACTGTGAGCAGTACAATGAATCAAAACTATCTTATGGCAAGTTTCACAATACATTCATCTTACACAACTCTAATCTATTGAGAAATCTCTTGAGATTAAAAAGAGTTTAATTAAGCTATCTGTTATTATACAAACATTATTATGTATATCATTTTAGAATGCCTCCGTCTTTAGAGAAAATGAGGTGGATGCCCCAGGGAGCTAATTTATGTGGTATAATTTTAAATAATAGCATTTATACTGTGCTCTGTGTTTAAGTGTAAGTGTGCTGGAACTTAATTGTTTGAGTTAAAGGTTTCATAGTTTACTTGAAACAGAGATAAGTATTAATGCAGGAAGAAAAGGCCAGTATGTTGTATTTCTATTAGTGTACCTTGACAGTGATCTTTTCAGTAACTTTCAGGAGTGTTTAATGAGAAAATATTGCTATGTTAATTAAATCTAGTTGTTACTTATTGTTAATTGAGAGGACAACGGACTGGGAAAGATTTTGTGCCCATTACAGAAACTCACCACGCATGGATGACAAACTCTGTTTAGGCTGAATAATATTCTGTTCAGAAGGTTTCACTGGAAATAAAAGGAGAAAGATATAAACTACAGATTCCTACATTTCAAAGCAACCTTTCCTCAAACATAAATTATAAAAACAAGAAATATTGTCTTATGATATACTAGGAATTACTTGTTAGAAAAACACAGTTAAGAACAAGATAAAAGTAAACAATTTTTCAGTCTTTCATGCTTCTTAATTTGCGCTTACCATCAGGTAACTTGATGTTTTCTACTGATTTTTTTGTAGCCAGTTTTTGTATCTGAAATATGGAGACATTACAGATTAGATAGGGATTTAGTATATTGAAAAGCGAGATGAAAGAGAAGAGGGAATCACAGGATAGGGATGAAATAATAATTACGACTCTGTTTTCCCATGGAAAAAAGGTTTGCTGACATTTCAGAAAGCCCAGTTAGGAAGAATGACATAGGGACAGTTTTAGCTTAGCAGTCACAAAACCTAGTGACTCAAAATAATTTTTATTCTGTTTCAAAACAAAGTTTTTTTCCCCATGAGAATAGAAGAATTTCGCACAAACGGAGACTGTTTCCATATAACCATTTGTGTTTTTGTGAAAGACAGGTATTTTCTGGGGGGGGGGGGGGGACAGCAATCTTGCACACATACAAAATAGCCATAGAGTTCTGGAAAATTGCTCTTTTCTGTTCAAGTTCTGGTTATGCAAGGTATTTGTTGGGCAAGATTTTTGTTATACTGTTCTTTGGATAAAAGTCAGGAGTCTTGGACAAAAACTACTTGTGGCTTTCTGGAAACCATGTTTTTTTGTGTAAATCTTCGCAATTCTCACATAAAGATGCATTTCTGGGTGCTGAACAATTCTCCCAAGTACTTGAGGATGTGTGAATAAGGGGCAAGGACGGTGCAGAAATATTTACTTTCTCCACAGTACACTGGAAATGATCCAATTCCACCTGTGAGAATAAGACAGTTAAATATGAACATCCTTCTCACAGCACAGGTGGGCATTGCTTTGTGCCAGGCCTATGAATCCCTAACAGCTTGATATATAAACAGCAACTTTGCCACTCACCTTTTTGGACACATGATGGCAGCAAGAAGATAAGATACTTGCTGCTCTTGACAAGTTACCAAGTTGCCTTGCTGAGCCAGTTGAATCATCATTCAACTGGATCAGCATGGCAAAAGAGAGAGAGAGAAATCCTTTCCACTGTGCCTAAGGCAAACTGAACAGAAGTAAAGATGATCAAGCTTGTGCCATCACAGTAGAGCTCATATTAACAATTGAACATTACAAGATACTCTTCCTTTCCAGCTGAAGTGGCAATATTTTAAACTTAGGAGGTGACTCTGCAGCTGTGATTATGAATCAAAAAGTGTCAAGCTTTACAATGGATCCATCAAGTAGGAAAGGAGAATTTCCCCTATAAATACTCGCTACTATAGTAGAATTATAATTATCATATTATTTATTTATATACAGCCTTTCTCTGGATAATGGGACTTAAGGTAGTGAACAACATGTGTAAAACCATACAAATTAAAAACTCAAATCTAAGATTTGAAAAATAATTGAGCAATGTGTAAGTTAAAACATTAAACATTACAAATATTAAAATGCCTCAAAAGACTACATACAGCCCCTTAAAAACTTTTAAAATAGCACTAAATAATACTAAATGGCCAGCCTTAGCATGCTGATGACATAAACATATTTTACTCTGATAATGGAAGGAGAGCAAGGACGGGACCTTGGTCTCTCTACGGAGAGAGTCTGGGAAGAGCCACTGAGAAGACCCTGGCCTTTGTTTTCACCAAATTAGCTTCACAGGGTAATTGGAAAGAGAGAAGGGCCACTCCTGATGTTCTTAGCTAAATGGCTCATGCAAGGGAGTTGCGTGCTCTCTGTAGCCAACCCCAATTAACAATGTGGTTGCAGCTCTTTGGGCCAAGAGAAGTTTCTGGGTGCTTTTTCAAGGCATCAACAAGTACTTTGCATTGTTCACCACTATAGATCTGACTTTAATCCAGGAATGGGCACAGTTGGTGCACTAGCATTAACTGTGCAAGAACATTCGTGGTTACTGCTAAAACCTGGGCCTCCAGACTCAGGGCTGAATCCAGGACACTGTGAACCTGTGTTTTAGGGTTAGTGTGGCTCCATCTAACACAACCTAAATCCCTCTTTCCAGATCGATATTTCAATGGACCAGGAACTCCTCTGTCTTGGCAGGATTAAGCTTCAATTTGTTTGTCCTCATCCAGTGTATTGCCAATTGCCAATTGCCAATTTAGTATAGGAACCGCTTCCATGGAATCGGGTGGAAAGGAATAAAATGATGATGATGGAGATTATTAGCATATTGCTGACACTTGACCCCAAAACCCCAAATGACCCCTTGCAGCAGTTTCATATAGATAGTAAACAGCATAGGGAACAAGAGGGAACCTTGAAGGACCCACAAGCCAATGACCAAGGAGTTAAGCAGAAATCTCCAGTGCCCACTCTCTGGAAGCTCCTCCTCCAGGAAAGAAGAGAGTTTCCAAACCCCAATCCAGAAAGGCAACTCAAAAGGGTGCCATGGTTGAGGGTGTCAAAAAGAAGCAGAGAAGTCCAACAGAACCAACAAGGGCACACTTGTTGGGACCAAGTACCAAAAGCACAATAATCCCAATTAAACAGCTCAAGGGAAGATCTCAGGGGCTCACATGTCTTTACACTAATGCACAGAGCATGGGAAATAAACAAGACGAACTCCAACTTTTAGCACAACACCACAAATATGATATCATAGGGATCACTGAAACCTGGTGGGATGACTCCTATCGCTGGAATGTAGATATCGAGGGGTATAACCTCTTTCACAGAAATCAAACAAAGGGGAGAGGAGGCAATGGAGAACCTTGCATCCTTCTATGTATGTAGATATCGAGGGGTATAACCTCTTTCACAGAAACCGAACAAAGGGGAGAAGAGGCGGAGTAGCCTTATATGTCAAAAACTCTTATGCTGCAGAAGAGATTCAAGACAGCAATCTGGGAAACCAGCTTGAAATCATCTGGATAAGAATCAAGGGAACTGGGACTCAAAAAGATGTCGTTGTAGGCGTCTACTACAGACCCCCAAGCCAGGAGAAGAACTTGATGAAGTCTTCTGCCAACAGTTGACCAAACAGGCACAGAGAAGAGATGTAGTAGTCATGGGCGATTTCAACTATCCCGATATTTGCTGGAAAACAAACTCGGCCAAGAGTACAAGGTCCAACAAATTCCTCGCTTGCCTTGCAGACAATTTCATGGTCCAGAAGGTAGAAGAGGCAACAAGGGGATTGGCTACTCTTGATCTCATCCTAACAAATGCGGAGGACCTGATCGATGCGGTCGAAGTGGTAGGATCCTTAGGGGCAAGCTGACAGGGGATAGGGAAAAGGCAGAACTACTTAATGCCTTCTTTGCCTCAGTCTTCTCACAAAAAGAAAGTCATCGTCAACCTCAGCAAGATGGAGTGGATGAAGGATTAGAGGACATCCAACCCCAAATTGGGAAACAGGTCGTCCAGGAATACCTGGCCTCTCTAAATGAGTTCAAGTCCCCAGGGCCAGATCAACTACACCCCAGAGTATTGAAGGAACTAGCGGAAGTCATTTCGGAACCATTGGCAACCATCTTCGAGAGTTCTTGGAGAACGGGAGAAGTTCCAGCAGATTGGAGGAGGGCCAATGTGGTCCCAATCTTCAAGAAGGGAAAAAAGGATGACCCAAACAACTACCGTCCGGTCAGCCTCACGTCGATACCGGGCAAGGTTCTGGAAAAGATTGTTAAGGAAGCGGTCTGCAAACACTTAGAAACAAATGCAGTCATCGCTAATAGTCAACATGGATTTATCAAAAACAAGTCATGCCAGACTAATCTGATCTCTTTCTTCGATAGAGTTACAAGCTGGGTAGATGCGGGGAATGCCGTGGATGTAGCGTACCTGGATTTCAGTAAGGCCTTCGACAAGGTCCCCCATGACCTTCTGGCAAACAAACTAGTCCAATGTGGGCTAGGCAAAACTACGGTGAGGTGGATCTGTAATTGGTTAAGTGGACGAACACAGAGAGTGCTCACTAATGCTTCCTCTTCATCTTGGAAAGAAGTGACAAGTGGAGTGCCGCAGGGTTCCGTCCTGGGCCCGGTCCTGTTCAACATCTTTATTAATGACTTAGATGAAGGGCTAGAAGGCATGATCATCAAGTTTGAAGACGACACCAAATTGGGAGGGATAGCCAATAGTCCAGAGGACAGGAGCAGAATTCAAAACGATCTTGACAGATTAGAGAGATGGGCCAAAACTAACAAAATGAAGTTCAACAGTGACAAATGCAAGATACTCCACTTTGGCAGAAAAAAAATGAAATGCACAATGAGACCTGGCTCGAGAGCAGTACGTGTGAAAAAGATCTTGGAGTCCTCGTGGACAACAAGTTAAACATGAGCCAACAATGTGATGTGGCGGCAAAAAAAGCCAATGGGATTTTGGCCTGCAGCAATAGGAGCATAGTGTCTAGATCTAAGGAAGTAATGCTACCCCTCTATTCTGCTTTGGTTAGACCACACCTGGAATATTGTGTCCAATTCTGGGCACCACAATTCAAGAGAGATATTGACAAGCTGGAATGTGTCCAGAGGAGGCGACTAAAATGATCAAGGGTCTGGAGAACAAGCCCTATGAGGAGCGGCTTAAAAGCTGGGCATGTTTAGCCTGAAGAAGAGAAGGCTGAGAGGAGATATGATAGCCATGTATAAATATGTGAGAGGAAGCCACAGGGAGGAGGGAGCAAGCTTGTTTTCTGCTTCCTTGGAGACTAGGACGCGGAACAATGGCTTCAAACTACAAGAGAGGAGATTCCATATGAACATTAGGAAGAACTTCCTGACTGTGAGAGCCGTTCAGCAGTGGAACTCTCTGCCCCGGAGTGTGGTGGAGGCTCCTTCTCTGGAAGCTTTTAAGCAGAGGCTGGATGGCCATTTGTCAGGGGTGATTTGAATGCAATATTCCTGCTTCTTGGCAGGGGGTTGGACTGGATGGCCCATGAGGTCTCTTCCAACTCTTTGATTCTATGATTCTATGACTCCTCCCCTGTGTATGTTATCCCCCAAGGTAACCAAAGCTATCTCTGGCACACAACCAGGTAAGAAACTACATTGAAATAGATCTAGGTAATACACCTCATCCAGAATTTCCTGGAGTTAAAAAATGGAAGACTGTCAACTGGCCTATAAATATCTAGCATAGAAGGGACATTTTTTAAGAAGGCCAGACTCTCTTACCATAAGCTCCTTCAGCTATCTTGGGATTCTGCCTTGGCATTAATCACTTCCCTTTCTCATTCAGTTAGTGTTCCACTGAGCTATTTAATTAGTCAGGAAGAGCAAGGATATAATATAGATGTGGTAGTTCTCATCACTTCAAGTCCCCCTATCCAAATCTTCAGCCTTCACAAACCGAAAAGCATTAAACAACTGGACAAACAGGGACCAAGGTTACATCTGGTGGAACTTTTATCAGTTCTGACGTCTATGGCTGGATCTACACTGCCAGATTTTTTTTATTTTTAATTTTTTTTTACATACGCATACATAGATACATAAAATCTTCAAAGTTCAACAGTCAAGATACAAGTATTTTCCCCAATCCCATCACCTCCCCGTCCCCACCCCCCTCCCCTAAACCTCTTCTGTGACTTCCCATTACATAATCCAAAGGTACAGGAATACTATTGAATATTTATACCTCAGCATATTTGAGCATTTAATCATTTCCCCCTGGTTACCAATTTATGCACAACCTTCTGTCTGAGGTTCTCAAAAAGTATTCATTTTCTTTTCATCATCCTATATCTTGTTTTACATTATTTCCCTTCCTCCCCCCACTCCCCTCTGCCCAGGAACAGTTTACTGCTCTTGCTATACTTATTACAATTGTTCAATCATGAGGATAGTCTTACTTAATTAATTATCTATTTCTCCCCTTTATTCTGGAAATGAGACCCTTCCATTTTGCCTCCCAGGTCCTTTTGATTTGGCCCGTTCTATAATATTTTTTTCCTTTCACTAATATAATCTTGGAGTAGGTAGTTGGCTAGATATTTATACCAAGTTTTTATATCCCATTTCTTGTGACCCTTCCAGCCTAGGGCAACAGAGGCTTTAATTGCATCCATCATGTGTTTTATTATTTCCTCCCATTCTTTAAGTCCCCCTGTGCCTTCCATTTTCTGAATGAAAAATTGACTCTTGTTCCATTCTATATTTATCCCTAATAGCTCCTCCATTTCCTTCTTAATTATTTTATGGAATTTTGTATTTTTTCACATTCCCACCACATGTGGGTGTATGTTCCAGTTTTCCTACAATTATGCCAACATAGTTTTGAGCGCGTTCTCATATGTGCCAATTGCACGGGAGTTCTATACCATTTTGTCAGTAATTTCCATTGCATTTCCTTGATCTTCAGATGTTTTATCTTATTGATTGATTTTAGGCTGGATCTACACTGCTATATAATGCAGTTTGGACCTGTATTATATTGTCATTGTAGGTCAGGCATGGACAATTAGACCCTACAGGTGTTTTGGACTTCAACTTCCAGAAATCCCAGCCAGCTTACCGCCTGTTAGGAATTGTGGGAGTTGAAGTCCAAAACACTAGGAGGGCCGAAGTTTGCCCATGTCTGGTGTACACTCGGATAATGCAGTTTTAACTGGATTGAAATGCATTATATGGGTCTATACTGACCATATAATGCAGTAAGGAGCCCCCGATGGTGCAGTGGGTTAAACCCCTGTGCCGGCAGGACTGAAGACCGACATGTCACAGGTTCGAATCCAGGGAGAGGCAGATGAGCTTCCTCTATCAGCTCCAGCTCCTCATGGACAACGTCCTTGCAGATAGCCAATTCTCTCACACCAGAAGCAACTTGCAGTTTCTCAGGTCGCTACCGACACGACCATACATACATACATACATACATACATACATATATATATAATGCAGTTCTAACTGCACTATATGGCAGTATAAATCCAACCTTAGTAAAAAAAAATCATAATTATTTTACCTGCAAAATGGTGGGCAAATTATTCACAGTGGACTGTAGAATGCCAGATTGTAAAAGGTCTCTCTCCATTCAATACAACCCTGCTGAGTGGTTCTGGTGGGCAGATGCAACCATGTTAGCTAGACAAGCCTTTTTTGCTACCTTTATTACTCCATTAATAGGCATTCAGATAGACTTCAGCCTGCTTTCAGTTGGTCACTCTGGGTTTTCTACCACTGTTGCTGCAGTATCCGCCTCGCTCATTTCATTATTGCCAGCTCCTCGGAAAACTTTCTATTTGCTCAAAACTCTGTCAGTTTTTGTCCCTACATTTTAGTAACTCTAAATAGAGCTGCAAATGGGGAGGGCAGGGGTAAGGTTTGGTTTAACAGCTCCCAATAGGAGTAAAATGTAAACTGTGATGTTATAATTTTTTTGTATAGTTACTGAAAACTCAGCTTTATTTTACCCATTTCAAAAAAGAAGCCTAAAGTTTTATATTCAGAAGACTTTATACAACAGACCTGATATTTCTGTGCAATAATTAGATCGTTCTGCTCTTGAAGTCTCTGTCCTAATTCTTCGATCCTTTTTTTATAAAAGACATTGCTTGCATTGAGTTCCTCGGTCATGGATGTTTTGAGCTTCTCAATTTGTGATGTAAGCTGTGATGCCAGACATGGAAAAGGAAAGTAAAATATAGCCTGAAATGTTTCAGTATTATGCTACTTTAAATAAAAATCAAATTTATTTAAGCAGAATAATGAAACCAAGTTCACCCCTTCTTCTATCTATAAAGTCCAACTCAAAATCTTTTACCCATATAAACAAAAAAACCCACAAAGTTTCCTACAACTGAAAACTGTGGTATAGCTATGCTTGTTTCATTCACTTCTATACGCAACAGCAAATCTCCACCTGCAACAGGCAGCAGACATGATAAAGACATTCTTGTTTTTTAAAGTATACTGCATCAGCTTCTTCTCCTCAAAGGGTCACTCCCTTTTAATTTAACAAAGCAATCCAATGCATTGCACCTGTGTTCACTGGGACTTATTCCTAAACAAGCATGCATAGTATCTCATTTTTTCAAAGAAAGGAATCTAATTTAAAACACCTGAAAACAAGTCCTTTGAGTATACAAAAATAAATTCTATCTAGCTAGACTGGATTCTAAACAACCATTCTGAATGAGTTGTCACAGATTTCCACATACTTCTACGGTCAGATCAATTTCTATTTCATTTCATAAAAATAAGTTCACAACTAAGACTTAACTTGTTTTACCTGTTGTTTTTCAGCTTCATGTGCTTCCTGAAGAGTCTGTACTTTAGAAGTCCACTTAGTTTCCTACAACAAGTAGCATAATCATTTCAAAACAGTTTAATTGCATTTAAACGTAAACATAAATGTAATACTTTCATGTTGCAAGAGAATGACTATACCAGAAAAGTAAGAGCTCCTGCTCTGGGAAGAAGGCACTGCATATAACTCTAGAAGTGAATTGCTATGTGAATCTGAACACAATGTATCATTAAAGCCAATTGGTAAAGTTAAAAAAATGATTCAATATTTTAGGGGAGGAAAACCCAAACGTCCTAGATCTCTTACCAGATAACTTTTTTCAAAAGGGATAAATGTCACTCTTGGAAGCCTTTTGGAGCAGGGAAGCAACTCTGATGTTGCTGGGCTACAACTCCCTTTTGCTCATGAGATATGCTGGGAATTCAGATCCAGGACCAAGATCAAACCGTGTTTTCAGATTTTGATTTTTAAGGGTATGAGGTAGTTAACAAGGTCCTTACTGGAAATATACATTTGCCTACGTTTTAAAACACAGTTTTAAAGATATGGCATTAATTCTATGTATGTTGTCCAGATGACAGAAGTCAATCATCTTTGAATGGCTCTGCCCTTCAACCTGCTTCCTGAGATTCCAGCTGATAAATTTCTTATACTACTACATTCTAGAATATTTTAAAGAGTTGTAATGACTGGAAGTGAAGTTGATCAGAACTACAAAACAAAAGCATAGGACTGCGACTCTAAAAAGCAATGCTTTTTCTTCTGAACAGCCATGGATGACAGCTGAAGACACTCTCAAGTGTCCACTTATGTGCACATTAATGCTCCCTCCTGTATAAACCAAAGGACAAGACATTACAATTCTGTGCAACCAGATCTGTGTTATTATACCTGTTTATCAAGAAGCTGCATTATGTTCTCATGATCTACAGCATTCTGATGTTTCTCTTCTGTAAATTCAAAGCTGTCCTTTAATGTGCCTAAATTGGATTTCAGGTGTTTGTTGGACTTCTGTACTTCGAGCAGGTGCTAAGAATGAAACGAAAGCATGAAATAACATTAAAATATATATTATAAGGTGGTACCAAAGGAAATAATGTCCTGCACTGGCCACAGTAATCTAACACACGTGAAGAGAAGGGCTGGGGACGCAGTACTGGCAACTAAGTGGCTGTACTAGAGGACTGTGCTAGGCTGTAAAAAAGATAGGGATTTGAAGTAGTTCTCCTTTGAAAAGTCATAACAAATACATTTTGTGTATTCTGGTAAAACATTTCTAACTACTATATTTAATTGAATCTTGGATGCCATCAATTCCAAAACGCACCGCCCTTTTTGGAGCTTCAGTTTTGGAAAAACAAGGGGATCAGCACCATCCCTAAAGCCCTTCTTTCAAGGAGACCAGCACATTGTTTAAACCACTTCTTTCAAAACCAATAGGGAGACTAGGATTTTCCCAAACTGAAATAACCATGCCATCAGCAAAGTGCGAAACATGAGGACGCCATCGATTCCAAGACAAACCCATTTTTGGAGCCTTGATTTTGGCGGGAAAAGTGCATCCTAAATGCGATGTAATGTGGTAGCATAGTATTTATTGGACTTCCCATCATCACTGAAGACACGAATTTTGCCATTTCCTCGCATTTATTTCTTTACAAAGACAGAAGAAACTCAAGAATAAAGTCAAGGAAGGCATCTTCAGTAGCTTATGAACTTTAACCCCACTTTAATAGAGATTCCCCCCATTGAAAAGCTATAACCATCCAGATCAGTTGACTGAAGTGGGGAGGGAGGGAGTAATCCCCTGCTGCTTGCCCACCCACAATAGTAAGAGCTCCTGCTCTGGGAAGAAGGCACTGCATATAATTCTAGAAGCTACATTAGAAGAAGCAACAGTAAGTTTCTGCGAGCATGAAATGTTGAAATGAAATCAATCCAGCTACAGATAAATATACAACAGTATTCCTCTAGAGAAGTGTTTCTCAATCTGGGGGTCACGACCCCTGGAGGGGTCGAATGGATGGAGGAAAACACATTATTTCTGATGGTCTCAGGAACACCTTTGGCAAAGAAGGCTGAAGATTTCTCTGCCTGTCCTCTTCCTTTTCAGAAACAGATGGCGAATCCTCCCATCAAAAGTCCTCCTCCGCTGTGATTGGCCAGCCTCTCAGCCAAGGGAAGGGCTGTTTCTGAGACTTCAAGTGGGGAGGGGAGAGCAGGCATGCTCACCGCATGGCAGGACGGTGCGCATGTGCAGGCAGCGCACGAGGCTGGGGGGAGGCTCACGCCAGCCTTTGAGTTCCTTCAAAAAAGAGGGGAAAGCACCCATGTAGTGTGGAACTGAGCAGCATCAGGAGGTAAAGCAGCAGCAAAAGCAGCTTAAGTAATTTGTAATGCTATTTATTAGAAAAAAAGTCAGTCTTTCTTTTTGTTTTTATTAATGCTCCCATTAGAAAATGCATAAGGATGCGTGTGAACCACAACTCCCAAAACCGTGGGTCAATCTTCCTCAAAGTTGGCCACATTGGCTGTGCCAAGTTTGGTCCACTGTTTGAGTCCATAGTACTCTCTGGATGTAGGTGAACTACAACTCCAACATGCAAGGTTAATGCTCACCAAACCCTTCCAGTATTTTCTGTTGGTCACGGGAGTTCTGTGTGCCAAGTTTAGTTCAATTCCATTGTTGGTGGAGTTCAGAATGCTCTTTGATTGTAGGTTCACTATAAATCCCAGCAACTACAACTCCCAAATGTCAAAATCAATCCCCCCAACCCAACAAGTATTCACATTTGGGCATATTGAGTATTTGTACCAAATTTGGTCCACTGAATGAAAATACATCCCGCATATCAGATATTGACATTACGATTCATACTAGTAGCAAAATGACAGTTATGAAGTAGCAACGAAAATAATTTTATGGTTGTGGGTCACCACAACATGAGGAACTGTATTAAAGGGTTGTAGCATTAGGAAGGTTGAAAACCATTGCTCTAGAGCACATCTAAGATATTTAAATAATGTATGCTTCTTTCTTTTAGTTTTGGGGCCTGATCCATTCATATATAAATGTTTTCATAAAGTGCTATCTTAGAAAATTAATGCACCTTCCTCCAGTTTTGGTAATTCATAAGGTTATATCATGCCCAAAAGCATGGTAAAAGAAAATTAACTTAAAAAGCAAGGACTACTTCACAATATACCACCCAAAACCCAATTCTTCAACTACTTACATTTTCTAATTCTGTATTCTTGGCTGTCAACTCTTTAAACTCCTTCATAAACATCTCTTTCACCTTCTCTAGTTCACTGGCCAATTTTTCTTTTTCTTCTTCTTTCCATTTGTGAAATAACTGCCGAATCTCGTCCTCCTTGGATCTGTGTTCCTCATATTCCTGAAAATGCTTTAAGATGTTATTATGAGAACTCCTACACAGATACAACAAAGTGAAAATGCAATACAGAGGTCTTCACGAGACATCTCACTTGCATCCCACCCATGGAAGACAATCCAATGATTTTTATACAGGTCGCCACCAACTAATATTCCACCTTTTAGTCTCACAAGAGCTTTGTCTATGAGTGTATTGTATATGTGTATTGTGTTTTTAAATTGAATATTGTTGTTTTTAAGTACTGTAAACCGCAATGAGTCGCCGTTTTAGGCTGAGATATTAGCGGTATACAAGCGCATTAATAAATAAATAAATAAATAAATAAAATAATCTCTCGCCCCTTTCATTGCTAATTTGCCAGTGCCATAATGCATCAGTAATTACCTTTTTTCACCTATTCAGGCTTTCTAAGTATCCTCTATGCTTTCTAGATGACGAAATTCGCTTTTTGCTTGACTAATTCTACTTTCAAGAAGTTGCATGACTTCACCTTAATTTCTTTCAGGATACCTACTGTATGTATGTACATATGTACATTCCTGGACTTTGTATGAAACCATGGATATCAGCAAACCATATAAAAATAATGGACTTATGGATCCATGAAGAACATAGAGGACCCAGAAAATGCCTAGGGGGGGGGGCATATTTTGATGGACATGGATAAAGGAAACCACAGAAAATGATCACATAGATAAAGGGGTCATACTGTGGGTGGGTGTGTGAGTGTGCATACACAATCACACACAGAGACAAACACAGATACACACATATCTGTAGCCATATCTCCTCAGCTTTTACTCAATTCTGATTTCCTTACTTATCTTTACTTATTTACACATTATCTTTTAAACTAAATGTGAAAAACAATAAAAATTTTAAGCAGTTCAAAATATTTTAATAAGAATTAAAATACTTTAAAATATTGCGAATAGCAGAATGAAGAAAGAGTGCAGAGAAAATATACAAAAATTACTAAAATGCCAGAGAGGATAAAAAAAAGAAAAGAAAGAAAAGCTTGCAGCCCACATAAAAATAAACAAAGAGTAGGTCAGATCAACTTCTTTACCGAGATTTTTACAGATGGGACCACTTTCTGCTAAATGTTTGATTCTTTATTTCATTTTCAAAAATTACCCAAAAACTTCAAAACAGCTCATCAGCAGATTTAAGACTTGGTTAAAGATTTAAAATAGAGTGTAGGGATACCAAAATGCTAAAAACCTTGAACCAAGGGCTGGAACAGAGCTCAGGGATATAACTTTCTGAACCACTGAGAAGATTTTCAAGATGGGAGAGTGTTTTGTCTGGTCATGGTCTATTGTGCCCACTAGTGCAGAGATTTAGATGCTAATGTTGCAGTTACCGTTTCAATTGGCATTAAGTAACATAACAAACCAACAGAGCTCCTTCTCATACTATAAAACTGCTGACTCTCACATGAAATCTTAGTGAATTGTGTTGGGTGACTCAATGAATTTCACGAGATTTTGCTAGGCAAGGAATACTCAGAGATGTTTTTGCCCAGATTCCGCCTCTGAAATACAGTCTGTAGTATGTGGCATTTGTTGGTGGTCTTGCATTCAAGTACTAACTAGGGCTGATCTTCCTTAGCTTCCAAGATCTCACAGAGTCTGGTGCTTTTATGGTATTTAGGCCAGATCTGAAAGGAATATAGCCAATATTCCTACTATATGTATATGACTTACAGGACACCATCCTCAATTTGTTGCTTATTATGTTATTACTAGCCTCTTGAAATAAAATACTTCTCAAGGGTGCCCCTTACCTTAGACAATTTGGCCATGTGAGCATGTTGCTCTGCTTCTAATTGAGACTTGGTGTGCTGTAACTGCTCCTTCAGCTTGTTGATCTCCTCCTGTAATCGATCCGTTTGTCCTTTTTGCTTCTGATCTACATAAAAGACACATATATAAATTAGTTTGTATGTGTCTTTGGTTATATTTTGATAAAGACATGTCTTCTTGAAGGGAAAGTTTTTCCAAGTTCCAGTCTGCAAAATGCAATCCCAGGTGCTTTGCAGTATATATTCATCAAAACGGTACCATGCAGGATTACAAGGAGAAGCCCTCTACTGAGCATCATTTTTTTGTGGGAAGAGGGAGTAATGTAAGATTTTCTCTAGTCACTGGCTGATCAAACAAACTGCTTCCATCTGATTTTAAATTATTCCTTTCTCCAACTACTAGTATTTTTATGACTCCTCAGGCCTTTGTGAAAAGTTATCTGTCCCTGAGGAGCATTTGTCTGAGGGGATACAGAGACTTTCCACATATAAATTATGCAAGGAAATCTCTGTCATAAGTGGGCTTAAACACATTAACCCAGTCATGGAGAAACTTCGGCCCTCCAGGTATTTTGGACTTCAACTCCCACAATTCCTAACAGCCACGCCTGCATTAACCTAACACAAAGAAGTGTAAAAATAGGGTAAATAAAATTACCTTTGGTACATTCCAGTTAGCCCCACCCAGACCATTCTAGCATGTCTCTAACAAAACTAAAAATTGCCATGACATTTAAAAAGAAAATAAAGCCCAACCTTTCTGCTACAGAAAGTTCAACTTCAGAATTTTCAGCTTAAGAATTTAAATTGAGAATGTACATATCCTAGCAAAGCTTTGAAAAGTTATTTTTAAATCATATCACAACTGGCTGTGATAGCTGAGAAATTCTGAGATCTGAAGTTTAAAAAACTTACACTTATCTGGTAATGCTAAACATGTAAATAGATGTCTCCTACATTCTGTGACTTTCAGACAGCAAGAGTTTCCATGTTAGTAAGGTGATTTAACCATGGGGTTAAACAGATTCAGCACCTTAGATAGTTCCTTAAATGTATCTTTTTACAAAACAAACAAAACCAGAACAGATTCATTACTCCACTGATAAGACAACAGGCTGTATGAGTATTATATATACATTTATTTTATCGCAGTGTGTGGACTGAACTGTTGATGTCACAAGCATTAGCTAATTCGATCTGTCCATTTCCTTTTTGTTTTTGTTTTTTTGTTTGTTTGTTTTTTTGCTATAAATACGTAGTTTTTTCATACCACAACCCTGAAGAAAGAAATACTTAGGATGAGCATTGCCAGGGCAGGCAATTCAAATCAACCTCGCTGCTGCTTTAGAAGTGTTAAACTATTAGAAAACAAACAAGTTGCTGAAAATTACACCTCAAAATTTTAGTACTGGAAGTCCTCAAAATCAATCTTCCGTAATTTAATCAGACAACTCCAGTTTAGAATGTGAGATGAAAATAAATCAAGAAGAAAAAAACAGAACAGAGACAGAGCTTTCTGCAGGTGCTTCCAAATCATTAGAACGAGGAGTAAAGTGATTGCAAACCTAATTATATCACAGAAAAGAAAATTGATGCTATTTCTAGCAGTATACATTTAGGAACTTTAGTAGCTAATTGCTGCAGTGTAAATTGAGGAATGTCATAAGCAAAGGAATACCTGTGATAAAAGAGACACTTTAGCTATAGAACAACTTAAGGATTTGAAAATATTGTTTTCCTTTGAGATAATTAAGCAAAGGCTGTTTTGTACATTTTAATTTTACACATGCAGATTCATATTCACGGGGGGGGGGGGGGGGGGGGGGGGGGGAGTTGCACTTGATATACATTGATACATACTTTGAAATTGGCTTCCAGATGTGAGTGGGAGGGGGATTTGCATGGTTACTTCTATATCACAAAATTCTTGAGCACTTTTGCAATACATGTGAGACTTATTCAAACCTCACAAATGAACTGTTCATCTCATTTTGAAGACACTTTTTATTTCCTTACAAAACTCACCAAACTGTGATTCTCCTGAATGGCGACGCTGCAAATGACTGTGCAGGAAAGAAGAGTTCATAAAAGCTTTGTCACAAAATTGGCACTGCAAAATAAAAGGACATTTTGTCAAATAGATATAGCAACCCTACAAGTATGCTTGCAAAATAAGTCATCTAAGTTTAAACACATGTTTATAGTACATTCTTAACCATGTACGGTATTCATTCTCTTGATATCTAAGCCATACTGATGGATTTAGGATCAACAGATAAAAGAGTGCATTTCCTTGTATTTTAGTATCAACTAGTACAGCTCAAAAGACGCCCAAGTCTCCAATCCCATAGTTATTAGTATATGTTTTTGTGTATATATGCAATGTTAACTACCAGATACTGAAAAGTCATTCAAAGTGCCATAGAACTGTAGTGGAACTGCTTATGGGACGGACAATGATGGAAGATTCAGAGGCAGACCTCACTTCTTAGCTAGGGATCACTCAATGAAGTACTTCATTCTGTGTTGTCTCTCACTTTTGTTTAGTCCCTGACTTCCAAACTTTAACTGCTGAAAGGGTAAGCAGCAGAAGGAAGCTTGGTGGGGTGATCTGGGCCAGGAGTCCTGCCTTCCCGCCATTAAAAGGCAGCAAAAGAAGAATTATGCCTTTTGATGGGGGCATCATAGTACTTACTGCTCAGTATTTATTCAAAGCTTGTTTTCTGCTGCTGGTAAAGGACATCTAACCCTCCAGATGTTTTGGACTTCATTTCCCAGAATCTCCACTCAGCAAAGCCATTGGTTAAAGAATATGGGGGCTGTGGTCCATAATATCTGGTGGATATCCTGTGTTGCGTATAAAGGTACCCATTTGGGGGAGGGGGGCACTCCTGAAAATTTATTTTTGAAATTTGTTTTGCCATATCTTTTTTTTAAAGAAAAATAAAACTTGAAATATTCAAGAGGTTTTTTTTTTAATGTAGCATTCTGTGTCCCTTTGTATCCCACTCCACCCTGGGAAAACATTAAAAGCCAGGAATATTAGGATAGGGGTGCCAGTAGGTGGTCTACAATTATTCACTCCAGATCATTCCTGAAACTTCATCCTAATTAGTTGACCATGTGGCACTTGCATCCTAAAGCAGACTATCAAGACACATAAAAATAATCATTCCATTGATCCTATAACTTACTTCAGAAATTGTGTAACTCATTGAAAAGATCATTATAGCTCTAATAACATGACACACAATGAAAGGGGCTACTCATATTTGAAAGTTAGGAAAGTTGATGAAGTGAGGGCTTCTGATAGCGGTGTGAGATTGGGTGCAGAACATTGGAGCAATGAAATGATTTTTGCCAATGCAGGTGGTCACAGAAGAGACATTGGGTAGAGCTGTGATTCTGATGCTCCTCGGCATGCTTCATCATAAAGGAACTTCAGTTGGCTCACTGAGAGTTGGCTGATGTTAAATACATTAAATAGCTAAAAATGTCAGTCTAAGAATGTGTTGAGTAGAATCTGGATCTGATCTGAATTCCCAACTCTCATCTACTATTTAAAATCCAGCTACTGATAGCTGCTTTATGATTAAATATAAATGCCCTAAAAACAGCAACCATGGGCATAAATAATTAAGTTACATTTTTCCTGGATAAATGCAAGGACACACAAAGCCTAGATTACAGGCAGTGAGTGCCAGGAAAATGTCAACAAGCAACAGGAATCTTCAGCTGAAGCACACCAAGCCTTAATGTATTAAATCAGCTGTGAAATATCATTATCCAACCCAATTCCCATGTCAAAACTGCCACACTTGCCCCAGTGGTTGCATGGCTTATTCACCATGCAATAACTTTAGCGCATGGTACATTAGTGCTTTATGCTTGATGGAGATGAAACACTTATTGAGTTTCTGAAAGAGCCTCAATGTTCATAAATAAATACAGATCATATGTGATAATATTTTAATCACAAATCGGATCTTGGAAACTAAGCAAGTTCGGCCTGGTTAGTACTCGAATGACTGATGGCCAAAAAATATCTTACAGGTGGCAAAATAGACTCCATGTCAATTTTTCATAGGCATGGGGCACCCAGGTGGCGTTTTGCTAGTTTCTTCCTGTGACGGCGCGTGTGGCGCCTCATATACTTAGAACTGTTAGTTGCAGGATTTTAAACTGCCATTTTATTTCTGTTTACCTTGTACATGTATAGTTAAATTTCATTGGTTACTATAGCTGTCAATTTATTGTTGTTGTGCACCAATTGGCTTGTTTCCCAGTTCTGTTGTTTAGGCTCCGCCCCTTCCAAGGGAGAAAGGGAAGGTTTCTCCCTCACCTTTTTTACCTCAGTAAAAGACTCATTGGATGGACGTGTCCAAAAGCTTGGCCCAAAAGCCCCTGGTCAAGGCATTTTTTACTACCAGTTCTTAGGTTTATTTCCCCTGAGTCTTATTCTTTATGTTCAGACCACCCTGAATAGAATTGTGAAGATCTCAGGCGCCTTCACACCGGTTCTGTGGCACCATAGGAAGGTCTTGTCCTTCAATTTAGGCCACTGAACTGGGGTTGTGGTTTGCTCCGGCATCCATAGCCATTGAGAGAGAGGGAACCGGAAAAGCTTCTCAGCTTATTACTCCTGGGACCCTGGACTTAGAGTTTATAAAGTATCTTTTCCCAGTTGAAACATAAAGTTTGTGTCAAAGAAAGAGAACTGTTAACAATAAACATCATTTCGAGTTAACTGTTGTGTTCTGGTCCTTGGGAGTTCCAGTTTCCCTAAAGGAGGGCAAGAAAGCAATCCCCTGGGGAAAGCAGTCACGTCCATGCCTCTTTCTCTATAGCCCCAGGCGCGACGGCACAGTAGTAAAAATATGACTTCCCTTGATCAGTAGTAAAAAAGCCTACTTAAAGAAGTAGTAAAAGAAAAAATAAAGCCAAAACGAAGGGCCTCCAGGCCTCAAATCAAGCCGGGGACTCAAGCAAGCCACAAGCCTGTCTTTTCCTCAGCAGCAGCCAGGCCCTAGAAGCAAGTTAGGCCCTGTGGCCTAGAAACTAAGTAAAGCCTGTCTTCCCTTCACAAAGCAAGTCAGGCCCTGCGGCCTAGAAGTGAGCCAAGGCCTCAGATCAAGCCGGGGACTTGAGTAAAGCCTGTCATCCCCTCACAAGCAAGTCAGGCCCTGCGGCCTAGAAGTGAGCCAAGGCCTCAAATCAAGCCGGGGACTCAAGTAAACCTGTTTTTCCCTCAGTAGCAGTCAGGCTCAAAATCTGCCTAGCAACTGTTGCTAAGTGGCTTCAACCGGCAAAACAAAGCAAGTTTTACCTTTTAAAAGAGGAGGCAGCTGTTGTAATTGTTCTTTTCAAAGGATTGCAATGCATTTTTGTGTGCTTTTCAATTGTATGCTTAAATTGCATTGCACTTATACTGTTTAAAGTGTGGGATAAGTTTCTTTTGTTTTTTGCATTATGGCAAGCCATAACTTGGAGATCCCACAAGTGAGGGCAAAATCCCCCCACCCTGTCAGAGAAAGGCATCCTACACAGAAGGCCATGTCCATTCGAGGCTCCCCATGTGTAAGCCTTAGTTCCAGTCTGCTCAAGCTTCTACCTAGGGCCGCTAGCCTTAGATCCAAACATTCATCTAGGCATAGCAGTGCCTCCCAATCTGCACATTCATTTCTTAGTACATCTTCCAAAGCAGCCTATTATAGCAGAGAGGCTATTCGTTTAGAAATTAGGAAGGAGGTTTTAGAAGCAGAGGCGTCTGCGGAGATGGCTAAGCAAGGCCTCGCCTTCGAAGAGGAGGAGCTCCTCCTTCAACAGGCTAAGGCCCAGCAGGAACTGCTTTTGGCACAGACGAGAGCCCAACAGGAAGCTGAGTTAGCACAGGCTAAAGCCCAAAAGGAAGCTGACTTAGCACAGGCTAAGGCCCAGAGAGAAATAGAGTTTGCAGTGGCAAAGGCCAAGCAGGATACGCTACAACGGGACCTAGATCTGCTCCAAGCAAAAAGAGACACAGCACAAAAGATAGCCAGGGCCAACGTTTTAGCCAAAGCTCTATCACAGGAGCTAACTCAAGAAAACCTTAGCCTCCTGCCAACACAAGAGTCTATTGCAAAGGTTTCAGCACACCTGCAACTGGAACCACCTGTAGTGCAGAGTCATGTCTCCTTTGATCATCCTGAAGATCGCTCACCTGTTCCAGTGTTTGCTTCTTCAAAGCCAGCCAGTTTCCCCAAAGTTCAACAAAGCACGGCCGGGAGGGTGCCATCGTCTCTGTCAGAGTCCATCCCTGTAATTAAGCCTCAGAGATACCACCTGTCTATGTGGGAACAAAAGGATGACGTCTTTCAGCAGGATCCAGATGTTCTCTCAGATTGGCAAGGCATGGCCGGGAGTGGTCCACCACATCCATCCCTGCATACCAAGCCAATTGTTTCATCGCTGAAGATTAAAGCTTCAGAGGCGCTGTTGTGGTTCAGCAACAGCATGATGGGCATGATGGGACTGAGAGTGCAAGTGGGCATGATGAGAATGGGAATACAGATGCAGATGTGGGATTTCAGATTTCTCAGTTTTCTCAGCCACAGTCTGTAGCTAGAGAGAATCCCTTGTTCTCAAGGGAAAGGAATGTGGCTGATAACACTCTCGGTGAAGGTCGGCGCGAGCCGCAGGTGTTAAGGAAAAGTTTACGGATTGCGGCCAAATCTTGAGGCCATCTGCTGGTGGGAAAACTGCTCGTTAGCTGTTCTGTTTAATGTTCATGTTTTGATGTTTTTCCTATAAGAAGACTGCTTGAAAGCTGATTCAGTGTCAGATCCAACTTTGCAATATGGATTGCTGTACCTTTGGCTCTAGGGCTTGGGCCTTGGGGTTCGTTTGCTTCCTGTAACGTCATGCTATTGCCTGGATTGTATCCTGCTTCTTTGCCTCAAGTTTCCTGCCTTGATTCAACAGAACTTTGGACCTATACTTTGTACCATTGAACTTTTACTGTTTTTACTTGGATTTGTTTTGATCTTCAATAAACTTCTTTCTTCTCAAGTTTGGCTGGTTTGTCAGAGAGCAAGGTGAAGCTTAACCTGAGACGCAACAGTTTGGATCTGA